TCACGGGTTTATTACGAATCAACTTAACGGCCTGCTCCCAGTTGGCTTGTTAGCTCAATTGGTAGAGCGCTGCACTAGTATCGCAGAGGTCAGTGGTTCGAATCCCGTACAGGCCTGATTTTTTTCAGGTCTGATTTTCGCTATTGCTTAAATAGCGCTATCTACTGCGAGGATCGTGCATCATACGTATCTAATACCGCAGTTCAAAATATATGAACTTCATATATTTCATTGTATCTGATTTATCACTTTCACGGGTTTATTACGAATCAACTTAACGGCCTGCTCCCAGTTGGCTTGTTAGCTCAATTGGTAGAGCGCTGCACTAGTATCGCAGAGGTCAGTGGTTCGAATCCCGTACAGGCCTGATTTTTTTCAGGTCTGATTTTCGCTATTGCTTAAATAGCGCTATCTACTGCGAGGATCGTGCATCATACGTATCTAATACCGCAGTTCAAAATATATGAACTTCATATATTTCATTGTATCTGATTTATCACTTTCACGGGTTTATTACGAATCAACTTAACGGCCTGCTCCCAGTTGGCTTGTTAGCTCAATTGGTAGAGCGCTGCACTAGTATCGCAGAGGTCAGTGGTTCGAATCCCGTACAGGCCTGATTTTTTTCAGGTCTGATTTTCGCTATTGCTTAAATAGCGCTATCTACTGCGAGGATCGTGCATCATACGTATCTAATACCGCAGTTCAAAATATATGAACTTCATATATTTCATTGTATCTGATTTATCACTTTCACGGGTTTATTACGAATCAACTTAACGGCCTGCTCCCAGTTGGCTTGTTAGCTCAATTGGTAGAGCGCTGCACTAGTATCGCAGAGGTCAGTGGTTCGAATCCCGTACAGGCCTGATTTTTTTCAGGTCTGATTTTCGCTATTGCTTAAATAGCGCTATCTACTGCGAGGATCGTGCATCATACGTATCTAATACCGCAGTTCAAAATATATGAACTTCATATATTTCATTGTATCTGATTTATCACTTTCACGGGTTTATTACGAATCAACTTAACGGCCTGCTCCCAGTTGGCTTGTTAGCTCAATTGGTAGAGCGCTGCACTAGTATCGCAGAGGTCAGTGGTTCGAATCCCGTACAGGCCTGATTTTTTTCAGGTCTGATTTTCGCTATTGCTTAAATAGCGCTATCTACTGCGAGGATCGTGCATCATACGTATCTAATACCGCAGTTCAAAATATATGAACTTCATATATTTCATTGTATCTGATTTATCACTTTCACGGGTTTATTACGAATCAACTTAACGGCCTGCTCCCAGTTGGCTTGTTAGCTCAATTGGTAGAGCGCTGCACTAGTATCGCAGAGGTCAGTGGTTCGAATCCCGTACAGGCCTGATTTTTTTCAGGTCTGATTTTCGCTATTGCTTAAATAGCGCTATCTACTGCGAGGATCGTGCATCATACGTATCTAATACCGCAGTTCAAAATATATGAACTTCATATATTTCATTGTATCTGATTTATCACTTTCACGGGTTTATTACGAATCAACTTAACGGCCTGCTCCCAGTTGGCTTGTTAGCTCAATTGGTAGAGCGCTGCACTAGTATCGCAGAGGTCAGTGGTTCGAATCCCGTACAGGCCTGATTTTTTTCAGGTCTGATTTTCGCTATTGCTTAAATAGCGCTATCTACTGCGAGGATCGTGCATCATACGTATCTAATACCGCAGTTCAAAATATATGAACTTCATATATTTCATTGTATCTGATTTATCACTTTCACGGGTTTATTACGAATCAACTTAACGGCCTGCTCCCAGTTGGCTTGTTAGCTCAATTGGTAGAGCGCTGCACTAGTATCGCAGAGGTCAGTGGTTCGAATCCCGTACAGGCCTGATTTTTTTCAGGTCTGATTTTCGCTATTGCTTAAATAGCGCTATCTACTGCGAGGATCGTGCATCATACGTATCTAATACCGCAGTTCAAAATATATGAACTTCATATATTTCATTGTATCTGATTTATCACTTTCACGGGTTTATTACGAATCAACTTAACGGCCTGCTCCCAGTTGGCTTGTTAGCTCAATTGGTAGAGCGCTGCACTAGTATCGCAGAGGTCAGTGGTTCGAATCCCGTACAGGCCTGATTTTTTTCAGGTCTGATTTTCGCTATTGCTTAAATAGCGCTATCTACTGCGAGGATCGTGCATCATACGTATCTAATACCGCAGTTCAAAATATATGAACTTCATATATTTCATTGTATCTGATTTATCACTTTCACGGGTTTATTACGAATCAACTTAACGGCCTGCTCCCAGTTGGCTTGTTAGCTCAATTGGTAGAGCGCTGCACTAGTATCGCAGAGGTCAGTGGTTCGAATCCCGTACAGGCCTGATTTTTTTCAGGTCTGATTTTCGCTATTGCTTAAATAGCGCTATCTACTGCGAGGATCGTGCATCATACGTATCTAATACCGCAGTTCAAAATATATGAACTTCATATATTTCATTGTATCTATATTACTATTACTACTTACAAATAAGCGAGACCGCTTATTTGAGAGTTGATTCCCAGGACAGTGAGCAATACGTCTACGTCGGTAACGTTAACAGCGGAAGATGTCTCTCTTATGATAATACTAATGTATCTTCAGTTGGTATGGCTGTGACGAAAGGAGGTAAACATTTAGCTGCAAAACTTACTACTAAAGCAGTCGGATATGATTCGAATAGAACCCATCATTTCTCCATCAACAGGAAAAGGAAAAGATACGAAGGTAAACGAAGCTAGAAATCAAACTCCTAAGTAAATACTTGAACACTGCACTAGCATCTTCAACAGCAATAGATGAGAAGAGGGTTTGAAAGAGCGCCATAACAAGAAAAACACAAAAGCGCGAAGAGAGATGGGAAATCTTCAAATCCGCGAGAAAAAACAAACGCAGAGGGTAGAAAGTATGGCTTTCACAATGAGAGGGACTCAAATGCTTAAAGATTTCCAAAAAAGCAAGCACAACTACTCCATAGAAATCATCAGCTGGAAGAGGGAGAGGTGTTCTTCCAATTTTCATCCGACAACGAGTCTAAGTAAAGATGGAGAACCAAAGCCGGGTGAGAGAAATCAATTCAGTTGAGAAGAGTACCAAAACTTCTCAATACTCAAGAATGTTGAATATAAAAATAAGAAATCATTCGAAATGTCGCAAGGATAATTTTCTATATATTGAAAACAAAACACACGCCTTCATTTTTTAAATTTGCATACCTCGGTCACGTGTGAGATGCATTGCTATTCTGGCATTTACAACTAGTAGATGGAACTGAAAATAACTTAAGGTGGCTCCTGTTAGTTGATAATGCAAGCACCCCTTAGAAAATTTATCCAAACTATATGCAGGTGCCTTTTGTTTTTGTTTTTTTGTTTTTTTGTTTTTTTTTTGTACAACATAGTATTTCAAATGATATATGATGTAATATTTAGTTATCGGTGCGACTCTTCTTATTTGTAGAAAAGTACTAACTGTTTACGGTTTTTGTAGAGCTTCATCTTAATTGCGTGGTATGTAATTAACTTTTCAGTAAATTTTACCAATTATTTTTTCGTCACATTTTGCAGCGGAAATTCTATATCATCGTTCTTAAACCAATTTCTCAAATATTTCTTCTTGTGCTCTCTTCATCAAAATGCGACGCGATAACAGCTAAACCATTGACTTCGCGATTTTCGTTGGGTAAACAACAAGTAATATTGTTTTCTACCACGATGAATAACCTCAACCTTTTATACAGTATTTCCCTAAAAGATATCTCTCATACTTAATATGTTGTCATGAAAATGACATACTCGGCTGATCTTGATAAAAGGTCATTTACACAAGTCGGTATGAAGCCCCGTAGCGAGAGGGGGGAAAGAGGGGCTACTTAACCCATGTTTAGGTTTATTATGTACCGTCTAGGATTACAAATCCTGACGCCACGTTGGACAGGATCCCTCGAAAAGGAACCCACTTCGGCCTGTCGAAAAATACTCTTCATTTTAAAACAGTGTTAAAAAGAGATAAGTTGCTACGAAAATTTCCATTATTTAAAAACTCAGCGATCTTTTTTATTCAAGCAATCGTGGTTTTCTATTTTTGAATGTTTCAAACGAAAGAGAATGCTCTCTGAATATCTTGAGAGTGGGAAATCAGTCACTACAATTCTTTTTCCTTCCCTCTCACTTCACGTAAGAAAATTGAGCAAGGACTCAGTTTTGAACTACCCATCTCTTAAGGAAAGTATCTTTGTAGTTTCCCAACGACCTGTAACCTTTTGCAGTCCAAAACAATTGCAAGAAACGGAAACAGCTAAATATTTAATAATAGGTCGCAAGTCCTGGAGGACTGGTACAAAGATTTGAAAAATGATTCAAGAACGCCTCGTTGTGACCGTTCTGCGTTGAACGTAGCCAGTAAGAAACGTTCACGTAAGTAGAAGCATTAATTTATTTTTCTCTTTCCCTAACAAAAAAAGCAAAACATGCAAGCGTGTACAATGCTTTTTAAATTTCTAGCCGACTACTTCTCTCAGTAACTGAGCGAGAAATTTTTTGAAGCATATTTTTACAGTAGTCGTCCTCCATCGTATACTTCACACGGCTCCACACAGCCAAAAGCTATCAGAAACAATTCAAAATTTTTAAGATTATCGATAAGCCGGAACTGAGACACACTTCAATGCATGTCTCGAAAAGATTGAACGTCTTTCCCCGGAACGTTCGAGGTAAGCCTGGGTAATAACTTGCAACTATTGAGGTTCGCCTGAGGAAACAGCCTCGCTTTGGATTTTAATTCAGCTCCCTTCTCAAAGTGATTGCATACCATTTAATAGTTTGCGATTTTGACGGATAAAAGTTCAATCAATTTTCGGTCCTTTATAACGTTCAACTCAATTTATTAATTACATCCACATCTCAACTTAGAGCATTAAGCAACGTAATTAGTTCATTTAGGCATTTTCGATAGTAGATTGGTCATAAAGCCAAATTTAACGCTTGCTTTTAGAGTAATTTAAATACGCAGAGAAGCAAAATATCGTTATGGCTGGCCTTATTCGCATCATGCGAAGAGTTACAACCGAACGTTGTTCACTCACAAAAGCGTTCTAACATCTAAATCCAAGTAGCATGCTTTGAGTTTCGTGTTAATAATTTGTTCTGAGCTCCATGATCTGAACTCTTTATGCGGAGATACCAATCCAATGAAAAAAAGCATTCCTGAACAGAATTTCCGACCTAACAGTGTGAAAACTCGAACCAACGGGTGAATTGTCCGTAAACAGTTCACAAAATGTTCCTGTAAAATTGCTTTCCGTTTAGGCGGTACCATACCCACGGTTATATCTAAAAACCATCAACCTCTACCTAATGAGTACACTAATAAAGCTCAAACATACCGATGACAAATTACTTCAACGAAAAAGACGCGCGTTTACCAAGCACTAACACAGTGCGCGATCTACAGTCGCTACCATCCTTGTAAAGTAAGGTAACACCTGTAGCATCCTATTTTCTGTCAAGCATTTGCTTATAATAACGTCCAATGTTGTCACGTATGACGGATCCAATACAGTTTAAAGCGTTTTTCGCAATTCCACTTTGGAACTAAAACACAAACAGTCAGTGTTGTTGTTTACTATCTGTTCGGTGAATTACATTGTGTGTTATCATAACACAGACAGCCAGAAAAGCATCACTGTGCGAGTCAGCGAAAGGTAATCAAGTACTCCGGATAGCACTGCCAGTCATAGAACACAACAAATATTTTCGGGTTGGGAATCTTATTAACCACGCTATCATAGGTGTCAGTTAGATCATTTGGATTCTTTGCTGGAGGTGTGAGAAGACCTTGTTTTCCTAGTGTAAACTCACCAACCAAGACTCTACTCAGGTACATGTATCGCTGACCACTCGCGTCCGCTGGTGAATACTTGGACTGAGCTGAGTATGAGGCGTCTTCAGCAAAATACACGCCATTTCCGTACATGGTTGCTGAAAAGTCAATGAGAGTTTTATAAATCCACTCGTTAGGGGGTTCGAAACCCACTACTTTGATTTACTACATGCAAGGTGGATCGACATTGTAAGTCGGTCAGATCATTGATTTGAATGCGAAGTTCTATGTTTTACCCAAGGTTTTTTTAGTGTAAAGAGATGAGGGTGAAGAGAAACTTTGTTTTCCACTGTATCTATAATCTACCAAAAAAAACCTTTCCTTTCATTTATCTTTTCCCGTCTCTTTTACTCCGTTACATACTCGTAGATATGGCTTATTTTCGAATTCTCCCCATCCCCTTCTTTCAGAGATATTTCGCTGCCATTTGATCAGACTGAAGTTTTATTGTCATTAAGACTGTAGTGTAAAATGACAATTGATTACTCAGTATCTGTGACTTAGTATCTGTGAATACACAGTGATTAACGGGTGTATAGATGTTTATGAAAGCTGCTACTTTAAAATCAATGAAAACATGCTCACCATTTTTACCACAAAAACTTCTGTTGAAACCTGCGTGATTTATAAGTTTGCAATTATTACCCGCAGTTCCATGAAATAACCACAGCTCGTTGCTTCCCTTCGCCTTGTCCATCTTCTGTTTTCGGATCATATACATTCCGAAGAGGGCTGGATTTTGAACTCTCTCTATCTTAACAATTTGGTTAGGACAGGTTTTCCTGAACCGGTCCTGAACATTTTTGTATTCCTGTGTTCCACTCGCACGATCCAGCTCAACAAGATGTACAGTCTTTTCTAGGTCCTGTGAGTCTTTTGGTTGTAAAATCCAGTAAGTTGGTAAAAGGAACCCTAGTAGAAAAAAAAAACATGTGAGGGAAGGAGTTAGCGTAACTCAAATACTACCAATAGGATTCAAGCCAACTTTGGTTGCACCACCAGTCCTCAGTAAGGAAGACACAGTGGCTTTACACACGGTCAGTGCACTGGACTCCTGGGAGAGAGGTCTGGGTTCCAGATCTGTTCGGGTTACTGTGTGGTTTCCTTGGGCAAAACACTTTATCCTTACAGGGCCTCTCTCCACCCAGGAGTAAGAAAAGTTCCGGCGAATCATAAAGGAAGCCTGATGAAATGCTGGAGGGTAACCTATCCTAACCAGGAGGTAGTCGTGATACTCTTAGTCGCTTCAAGCTAAGGTTATCCGGACAATCTTCCGCTACATGAACCTTCCCTTCTTCACCATCCCCCGGAATCGTGTTTGATAATCTGCCTCAGTTACGCGATTATAACTGTCGACTTACTGCTTACAATGTGCATAACAAAATAAATACCAGTGTATCGCTGGGATTATTTTGTATCGAAAACAACATTCGCACTGTTAAAGTCGAATTACAGGTAAGCTTTCTCATAGATACTTTTAAGGTCGCCGGCTTAGTTTTAAAAAAAATTGTATTGTTCTAACGTTTTCTGAGATCGACCTTCTGGAGAAGAGTAGCATTGCCATGTGGATCTGTCATGGTCATAGAGCTGAGCTCAATTCGGAAATTTTCTTCCTCTTCAGAGGTTACAACCCCTCTAGTTTTCTTCTCGAGACAGGCATTTTCAACCTAAGTGTTTAAAAGGCCTCCGAATTCCACAATTCTGGGAACCAGCTGTTGAATTTCTTTAACAGCATTTTTGCAACTACCAAATGTTCCCTTGCGCACATTTCCGCCGTCCCCTCTACTTAAAATTTTCTCACCCAAAGCAATTTCGCCTCTTGGAATGGTCCCCGGTTGACGCCGCTCGTATTCGGATAATTTCTCCTGAGCTGCAGACAAGGCTGTTTGGTTGAGAATTAACCTGTTTCTTTCCACCTCCATTTGAGTTTCCAGTCTACTCAGTGTTCGTTCTAATGCTGTCTTTTGCTTTTGTTCTTGTTTCAGTTGAAGCAGTTGAACTTTAAACGCCTCTTCCTTTGTTCTGACCACTTCTTGATATGACTGATTAGTCAGACGCTCAATTTCCAATCTTTTCTTCAGCTCGGCACAAGAAAGCGTTTCTTGTTTTAATTCTTCTTCCATTCCTGTTCTCAGACGCTCCTCTTCAGCCAAAGATTGACTTAGCTTGTCCAAGAGTCCTTCTGTTTCCCTCAGCTTCCGCTTTGCTTCACACATCTCTATTTTCATTAGCATGGAAACAGATTTTGCTTCCTCTAACTCTTCTTCTGCATTATTTCTTGATATTTTTTCCTTTTCCAACGTTTTCTTTGTTTCCTCTAACATTGATTCTTTTTCTCTAAATTCCTGTTCTCGCTGGTTACGCAAGCATATTTCATTAGCGAGCATTTCACACATGTTTCTATTTTCAGTCTTCAGAGTTTCTTCCATCTCCTTAAAAGCAAGTCTCGTGTGGTTTAAGTTCTCTTCAACACTGACCAAGGCTTGGGTCCATGGGAATAAAGTCAACCGTGCGTCATTTACAAAGCACGTTCCTTTTTCTCTAAGCTTCTGCTCAAAACTCGACAAAACTTGGCTCAGTTTATACCTTTTGAAATCGTGGTTTTCATTAGGTTGCTCCTCTGAATCCATACATACATTGACAGCGGAAATGGGTACTTCGTTTTCCATTTTAAAAAACAGTGACTACTGTTAGCTCGTGTGCACTCGTGTTTTCATCTTCTCTAAAAGACATTGAAGTCACCGTGATATCAGTCCTTTTAAACAGAATCACAAAAATTGTTGCAATTATCATAGAGATATTTTGATCAGACTCGACGGTGTTTATTAGCCCATAGAAATACTTTTGAGGTTCCTTACGGCTTATTGTCGGAAACTGTACACAAGCATTTCGCTATTGCGATACTAAGAGACAGTGATTATGATCTGATCATCATAAAAGCTTTGTTTACGTTTGGTAAAAAGGTCGTCTTATATGTTCAGCTAGTTAGTTGCCCCGCAGATGTGACTGCAGAGTTTCATGGTTTGCGAGAATGAAAGGGTGATTTAAAAGGAAACCCGTGTTTGTGCGTTATCGACACTTATAAAGCCTTTCTTATCACCTGACATCCCTCATTTGCTTAAAGACCCCGCGAGAGGTGGAATTCTTATTTACAGTATGCTCTTGTGAAAGTGGTGATCACTCTTGCCGTAAATCTGTTTGTAATTAGCAAGTTATACGGACGAAGTCCTCTCTCAGCAATCAAGAGACGTGGAAACTTCGGTAAGCCCAGCTGTCAAATTGATCGAAAACCGTTTTTATCTTTAATTTATGATTTGAAATCCTTTTCAACCTTGAATGCGCAATCACAAGTTAAACAGTATGCAAAGTATAGGATTCATTGACGTGCTCGCAATCGTGCAATGGCACGGAACTTTCTGACTGTGTATTGTTATTGCATAAACACCGGCGCATTTCATTTATAATTTCATCTATTCTAAAAACGCGACATCTTTCGTAGCGTAAGCCCTGCAAAGGCTTATGTAAGGTAACTGGCAAGTATCATGTGCCAGCAGACTTAATTCTGAAGAATGCATCGCAGAAACTATAAGATTTAAGGAGACAATCGTAAACACCTCCCGAGACCTGTGGGTAATGCAGCCAAATATGAATAAGTTGCTGAAAATTACATTAATTCTTACATTTCGCGAGTGAGGGATACATTGATGGATTGTTTGGAATTGAATCAGACAAATTAAGTTTATATTGTCGACAAGTACGGAGAAATGTAGAAATTCATACCTACAAGTCTGTGATTAATCGTCTGGCGCTCGGAGCTTTATACAAAAGTCGAAAAGTATTCTTCGTGACCAACCTTTATGTTCTTATTGCAGTTTGAATGGTCTGGCTCATATACGAAAACTCAAAAACAGTACAGCATAGATGATGCTCGGTAACATCGCTGGAGGTAATAACAGCTAAAAGTACCCCGCTACAGATATTTGATCGATAACTACATCAATAAAAACTTACCTCTTTTCCACTTACAGTATTGACGGCGAAAGGTTCTCTCTTTGAGATCAATGAGCGATATATTCAGTTCAATCACCAGATAAAGAACTTCAAGGCTCCTTCCGAAACGAAAGTGCTAAGGAAAAAGATCCGCTGAACAGGAAATGCGCCCACGATAAAGTACGACCGCGATATTCTCGTCTCACAAAGGGTTTGGAATTTTGCAACTCTAATTAAGTTAATTTTAGAAAAGAATGCATGCTTTTTCAGCTCGTCGATTTTCTCAAGAGAGTTCCACATAGTGATTCCGCAGGAAAGAGGCAACCTTTTATCTAACGTTCTGTTTCATTAGGGCATTGGGTATAAACTGAAAATTGATTTGAACTGAAGAACTGGTAGTAACAAACAATTTAACCCAGACAATCCACTTTTTCCTTCACGACTAAGAAAAGCCGTTCCACAACTGGGAACCATAAATGCGAGAGGTGACACTTTACCTCTATCTTTCAAACGTTCTTTGTTTGGATAAACAGTTCTGTTAAGTTATGCCAGGTGGTCTGATTTAATCAGTTGTGAGATATGCTGATATCTGTTGATTGGTGTTTTGCTCTCATTTGATGAATAGTCTTACGGTGTCTAATAATTTATTATGGCATTTGAACTGGGAAGTTTCTCGCCTTTAGGAAATAATGCAGGTATTTATAAAGCTATCATTGGGGTTTCACTCCATTGGGATCTACTCCCTAAGGTTTATCAATTCGTCTTCATTTTATTTATTTATTTTCTCGGAGATATTAGCATGTTATTTTTGCTATTTTAAATACGAGATGAAATAAAGGCTTGTTGTTGTTGTTTGTTGTTCGGTAGCTGGTGTTGTCAATGTTTCCCGGCTCACATCATACTCGTGTTTCTCATTTCATCTTTAATTAGGTGGACGTGTCAGCTTTGGTTTCCTTCTTTGCGAGATGAACGTCATATCCCAAAATTGGCTAAGATCAGAAAAAAAACCAGTTTGTAATATCTTGCGCGAGCCTAATCGGCGGTGCGTGTGAAAAATAAAAAAACCACCATACTATGGCTAAAGTAATAAGTGAACAGAGGCAATGTTAGGATCCTGCGAGTATCCTTTCGAAGATTCAATAGTTAGAACCTTGTTATTTACGGAGATTTCTCCATTTTCTCCATATACCAGGATTGTCCGCGAGTACAACCATGCAAAAAAAGGAAACAGAAAAATCGTTGGTCAGAGTTTCACGAAATATCTTATTAAATTAATATGGTTATTGGCAGAACCGCACGGAGATTTGTGCTCAAAGATTCACCGTGTAACCTTTCACTTTCAAAAATAATAAAGCCCTCCTGTAAGACTCATCCAACACTGAAAAGTGCACTCTGGTAGGTTTTTTCGTCTTTTAAAGTCAAAAAGCAATTTTAGAATTATTAAATACTCAAAAGTAGTTATCACTAAATAGAGCGCAATTCAATTTAATTTCAAAAGAAATACATCAACCTAAAAAAGCCATGGGTAAAACAGTACTGCTGTTTTTGTCAAGTTAGGTCGTATTCAATAATTCTAAAATATTTCCCTATACCTCAAACGGAATCTGGAACACTATTGCATTTTGTACATAACATGAAACTTGAAAAAAATTGACAAAAGTTTCAACTGCAAACAGTTCTCTAAAAGGACTTGGGAAAACCAACACCCAATTTTTTCTCACTGCAAAACCTAGAAGACGTGATTGTGTTGAGAATGCTATAAAGTACTACAGAACCTCTTGTAGGATATTAACTCCCCCTTTTCAAAGATACTCCGAGAGGTAATTTCATCAAGGTAATAAATATGAAGTGTTAAAACATATTTTCAGAATTAGGCTATCATTTTGTAAATGTCGTGTAGTACTTATGGAGAGATATAACTTATTCCACTAAAATATTTACAGATCATGCACATGATTGTGTTGACAGTGCAAGAAAATCTCAGATAAAAAGAAAACCATTTGCACAATCAATCCATTGAACTGATGAGATTCCTCACAAATTCAATCACCCTTATGTCACCAATAATACCCATGTGGTCTGCATTTGAAAATGACTTTGTGAACACTTTTTGTTTCTGTTTTCCAACAAAGCTCTGACAAGCCTTAAGGCTGCGAATATTAACAGTCCCATCACCATCTCCAAACAATGTCTTCGGAAATGTATCAGGAAACTCATCTGCTCCATAAACAAACTTTTCAGGTGTTGGTACTCCTGTGCCATACAGGCAATACAAAGGTACATTGGGCGGGTCATTGATCCACACAGGTGGTACCCGTTGACTTATGTTAATGGCATCTGGATACTGAATGTCATGGAAAAATCTCTCCAAGTTTCCTACTGAATAGTTCAGATTGGCCGTCTCAACAATGACCTGTGGAGGAAGGGCAAAGAAATAAAGATCAGTAGTTTTATGCACAAGACAGTAGCACAGAGTGCAATCATAATAAAACACTGAGTCAACATTACAATTAGTTAAAGCCAAAGATGACACTTCTCAGTCTATCAAACAGGCTCAAGCACAGTTTGTTCTCAAAGAAAAAAGAAAAAATTATTTTGAGTATTCTGCACAGCCAATAGAGACCTTGCAATTTGAACAAATACAAACAAATGCTCAGGAATTCTTATCTTTTATCTTGATTTCTGAGTAAAAACTTAATCAGCATCTATCATTATTATCTATGATTCAAATAAGTTTCTTAAATGGTCTTATTTAATCCGAGCTTGCTTTATGGAAAAGATGATTCATAAACAATTACAACTGTGCATTGTGTTTGCTTTTTAGGTTTTTCCAAATTTATACATAACTCATGCATAGGCAGGTGTTACACCAGTGGGTTTATAAAAATAGCACAGGCCAATCCAAATCTAGTAAGGAAATTTTAAATAATCTGTGGATTATTCCCCTAGGCTCTGATGCCCAGTGAATCACCTGGAGTGCTTAATTAAACTTCAGCAAAGTAATTCCTGATAATAAAGTTACCAGTAATTTTGTCAGTAATGGCAAGCCACAGTTTAAATGACTTGTACCAACTCTCACTCACCTCCTCCGCAGACCAAAAATCTTTACTGGGCATCAAAAAAGCAGAGCTCTCATAAGTTCGTAAAACTGGCCTGAGGTTCAGTGGCTCAAGAATAACATCTGGAAAACCTAAATTGGTTCCTGATGCATATATACGCATCAGTTTGGCTGAACCGGCCCATGCCCCAGCGATAGTCACCCAAGCCTTTATGTGTGTGTCCTTCCATTCCTGGGACATGTTGTAGAGAAAGTGATGAGTGTAAGGACATCCCAGGCTGTGAGAGAGCAGAACAACTTGCGTTTTATTGTTTTTCAAGTATGTGTCTTCAATTAGAGCTTTCAAGTTGGCAAAGTATTCATGGGCAGAATCTGAAAGAAATGGTGCAATAAAGAAGTAAGTCATTAAGGGCCTGGAACCTTAAATTTAAGTGTTCTGGTGAACATGGAAAAATATATTTACCACATCCTTGGTCTGATACTTTTTTGTTATAAATGATAATAAGAAAGGCCAGTCATGCCAGTGTAATTCTCAATATTTGATATATGATTTCATTTCGCTGACTGTATATCATACTTTTCCTGCCAATAGTTACAAAATGTAATCAAGATCTGATTTTTAACTCTATCTTCAGTTGGGGTTTTATGCATTCTCACACCTCTGTCAATTCTTCTAACTTAATTACTACCAAATGTGAGGCTTTTTATACAACTGACTTAAACATGGCTACCAAACAGGTGTATTCCACTTATCAAGTTTCCTGTATTCTGCAAGTAAAACTCCTTTATGCGACAAACTCAGTGGCTATGGAAAACCACAGCCACTACTCTACATATACCATTTAACGTCAGTTTGTACCACTAAAAGTGCAGATTCTCCAATTTTCTCAATTGAAGATAGTTACTGATGTACAAGAAAGACCGCAATCGACTGTTAGTAGAAACTATTTGAGCATGGGGACACATTCACTGAAGCTGTGTCAAGAGGGTGTTTCATCAAAGAAGTTAGAATAATTAAGTTACAATCAGAATAACTTACTTGGTGCATATCTGAAGTCAAATGGTGCAGCTCGCAGTGATATACCTTCCTCAAATCCAATCTTTTCGAGAGCAGCCACCATTTCAGCAAAATACTCTCCTGGGTGATACAAAGAAGGATCTAAATATGACACACCTTGGGTTGTACCAAAATATGGAACTTGTACCTCCACTCCAGGTGCATTGCCCATCCTTTGAGATGTTTCATTAAAGGCAAGCCTTAAGGGAAAAAAAAGTCAATATAACTGTTTGACTCTAAGAAAGGCAGCAAGAGTTTAACGATGCAGGCACAAATTACAAAACTATTAGGTCACTGCAGATAAACTGTAGGGGGAAAAAACAACTGGAATAGTACGTGAATAAACAGAATTACAAAAGTGGTAAATTTTAAATTCAGCATAAGAAGGAAATTATGTCTTGGATTTATGAAATACCTAATATTGTCTGCCCAGCATTCGATGGCCCCTGGTAACATTGACTCTATGCTAAGCCACAAGTCAAACCAGGAACTTGAAGTTTTTTCACACCACACGTGTGGTACTGTTGACTTGTTAATGCGAGCTTGAAGTTGACTTCCTCCATCTCCTGGAACTTTACAATGAGCAAGAAATCTACAGTGAATACACTGGTAAGACCAAGATACCTTTGGCAGTGTTAGCTCTTTGACTTGTGAGAAGTCATACGAGTAAATTGAAAAACACAATAGTAACTATGATAAAATGCATTTGAATGAATTTTCTTACAGTTGGTTGTTTAATTCAAGGTTTACGTTGTGACAGAAGTCATGGCAGGAAAAGATTTGTGCAGAAATATCTGAGTGAATTCAAAGTCATTCAATTATCAATTCAATGTTCTGTGAAACAAATGTGCTCTAATTTAATTTAATTTAACTTAATTTAGTAGCTTTGTCAACAATACAAAATAGAACATGGATAAATTACAATTAAATAAAGGCTGATAGTTTCTAAAGAAACTGTTTGGGGCTGCGTCGGTGGGGGTAACGGAATAATTTGAATATATCAATAAAGTTGAAATGGTAAATTGGCCACCGTTACGATTATAAAAGCTGAAGTTTCGAGCATTAGCCCTTCGTCAGAGCGAATAGAGGAATTGTAGGTTGTGTGTGCTTTTAAAGGCATTGATAGGCGCATAACTGACCACTACAAATTAAAATTATAACAACAATGGGCAGGCAACCACAACAGCTATAGCCAATTAATTGTGGTCCCTGCTGTGCATGTAGGATTTTAAGAAAATTTAATATATCGTATAAAAAATCAATGAACAGGTGAGATTTGAACAAACTGAATGTGAGGCTAATGCACCTATCAATGTCTTGCCCCAACAGGGGGAGCCTGGGCATAAACAGGCTATTGACAAAATAACCTTGCCCGGGGCAGGGACTGAAAACTTTTATTGACACAGGGTTTACCCCAGGGTAGGGTTTATTGACCATTTCATCAGAGAAGGACTGGGAAAGAGAGAGTCGAGTTGGCATAAATCAAAATGGCGGCTTTCGCCAACTACGTCAACAGAAGTTAAAAAGGTAAGAAAAAAACTTACATACAATCAGCTTGTTTATTTTTCATTTTTTATTATAACATAACTAAAGCAAAGTGTGTTCTCTGATTGGTTAATTCAGCATCTACTATTTGCCCATGGGTGTATGCTGCTGACATGAGCAAATGCTGAGACTATTTTTTCCGTGCGCGCTTGTTTTTTCTGATCACATAAGATTTGTTAAATAAAAGGGAACTCTTGTTACAATGTATCAATGTTATGTTATAAAACAAATGGTAAACACCACAGTTTGTTCATAGTTCTGCTCAACTCTTTCACTGGTTGTTAGATACAGAGCTTATAAGGAGGATTTTGGTTGGTATTTCAGGAAGCATGATTAAATGTTATGGAGTTGCTGGTGTGCAGTCAGTTGTTATGAATGAATTTTCACGCGCTTGTTTTCTATTGTCATGTAAGACTACACAAACATTTTTTTGCGATGTAGCTCAATAAGTTATGTTATAAAACAAATGGTGAAAGTCATAGCGTGCACTATTGAGTTATGGATGCACTTGGGAGGTTTGCTAAACACTCAAGAAGCTAGAGTCGCACTCGGCTATCACCTGGTGCGACTCTTACACTTCTTTCCTGCTTAGCAACCTCCTGCATGCATCCATAACTCAATAGTACAAGCTATGGCATTCACCATTTGTTAATAGCCAATACGATAAGCTTTCATTCAATGTCTGCACATTGCTTTTTTTATAATCGATTGTTGCTGAAAAATTTAAAATTTATTGGGGACAAATAAAAGTATTAAAATCAATAAAAAGGTTCATTTAATATCTTGTGTGAGTTGTCTTTTTTCATGGACTCCTAACTTCTAAGTCACAACAGCAGATATACTAATCTAAGACTGACTGTGTTTACCTGGCGGTACCCTGTTTGCTGTGGTGTTGTCACTTAAAATAACTCACGCTTATTTGAAAGATGTGGCATGCTAAGCCGCTTTGTATTTCGTAAACAACTGAACCAAAACATAAATTACAAGCTCACTGTTTCGCGTTTGTAGTATCACTACTGTCCAAATTAAGTTTTGAAATAGATCTCAAACGTATTTACAAATCACCAGAGGAAGATAATGTCACCTCTGATCCAAGATGAACAATTGTTCGTTTTGGCTTGAAAATGTTTGTTTCCCTCTCCCCAATCTCTCCCCAATTCTCAGAGTCCTCTCTCAGACATGCCTCGCTTACATGTTGCTAACGAGTCCAACATGGCGGCCAAAATGGACAAGTTGGAGATCTGTCACTATCCTGGAAACGCCAGGTCAAATTTGTGGGAATATTTTGGTTTTCATCAAGTGAAAAAAGAGCCTAAAACAAAGGAAAACTTGGATATAGCACTGTAATGAGTTTATTCATCCAATTACAGTACTGTAACACACTTTTAGTAGTGATGTAGCTTCTGTTAAAGTTGAAATCAAAATGATTACTGATAAGTTATAAGAACATTAAAAAGTTTAAAAACTTTAAGCTATCACTTTGACTTCTATTTAGATGAAAAATACGTGGAATGCTTATTGGTAGATTTTTCTGATTATAATCAATGATCAATCGGTTGGGGCAATCTGATTATTTCTGATGATCAAATGTGAAATCTCAACCGATTCCCACCACTACTAATAAGGCCCTCCTGAGGGGCTCATCGACAATTTTTTTTCAAAAATGTCAATAGCCCCTGGGTATGCCCGGGCTCCCCCTTTAGGGCAAGACATTGATAGGTGCATAAGTGACCACTACAAAACAAGATAATTGTGATAATGCTGTTAACAATACAACTGTTATAATTCCTGCAGCGTACAATGACAGAATAGACAATTATATCCAAGTGTATTGTAAACACATGAGAATATAATTCATAGGGCAATCATGAAGTACAGGTGCACTTCTGTGTAACTCCATATAAAACCTAGGTCCCCAATGTAATATTTTAGTTTCGCTATTCTTTTCTTTTAACAATGCATATGAACGGTACGTATAAATGAAGACCGGGGTTATACGAAGATCTTAGAAGTCTTACCAAGAAAGGCTTCTTTACCAACAAATCGCGCAATAGACAAAGAATTACAAGACAAAAATACGGTTCGACACTGATATTTTTCTCCAGGATCTAAACAGTGTCCCCTGGGACTGTGCGTTTATTCACGATGATATCAACGACATTTGGGCGACCTGGTATAAATTATTCACTGAAGTGATTGATCGTCACGCACCACTTAAGAAGAAATTAGTACGCGGCAATGCCGTGTCATGGATGACACCAAAAATTATCCAGGCTATAAACACTAGAGATCGTCTCCACAGAAGGTTTACTAAGAAGAAAACATCTGAAAATTGGGAGACCTACAGGAAACAACGGAACCTTGTTACATCCTTAAAACGTTCTTCCCTCAAGTCATACTGCATTAATGTATCCACAAACTCCAAACACCCCGGGGAATTTTGGAGGAAATTTCATTGTTTACTCCCAAGTAAAGACAGAGGTAACAGCCATGTTCAGCTGATTGAAGACGGGCGCCTCATCACTGATAGTACTGATATCGCCAATCTTCTAAATGATTATTTCATTAATGCAGTACCTAGACCGGCTAGCCACATGCCCAACTTACAGCCAGAAGAGTTCAAGACACATCCAAGTGTTCTATCCATTAGACGGAAGCTTGGAAGACAAACGAGCTTCTCATTTACTCCTGTTCAGGACTCCTATATCAAAAGGATACTTTCTACTATCAAAATCAACAAAGCCACCGGTGCTGACGCCTCTCCACGCCTGCTGAAACTTGCTGGGCCAACAATTTTCAGTTCTCTCACAAAATTAATTAACCAGTGCATTGTTAGTGGCTCCTGGCCTACAGATTGGAAAACCTCTATTGTCTCCCCGATCTAAAAAAAAGGAACTGAGACTTTAAAATCTAATTATCGTCCTGTATCTGTATTATCGGCTGTTTCAAAGGTAGCGGAAAGAGTTATCTTTGATCAGTTATATGAGTTTTCTCTTGACTTTCTCAGCGGGAATTTGTCTGGTTTCTTGAAAGGACACTCGTGTACGACAGCCCTTCTCAAGACATTCGAAGACATTAGGAAAAAATTAGACTCTAGCGAACACTCTGCAGCAATTACCATAGATCTCTCCAAAGCATTTGACTCTATCAATCATGATTTGCTTCTTGCAAAACTGTCAGCTTATGGTGTAACTAAAGACGCCTTACAACTTCTACGTTCTTACTTGACTGACCGTAAGCAACATGTCAAGACTGACGGTGTTTTGTCGGATTGGCAAATTGTGAGGTGTGGAGTTCCTCAAGGCTCAATCTTGGGCCCCCTTCTCTTCAATATATACATGAACGATGTGAATTTTTCAGATATTTCGTGCTCTCTAAGATTTTATGCTGATGACACTACTGGGTACTCTTCAAACCTCTGTCCATCTACCTTGCAAATAAATCTACAAAACAACGTTGGTCTACTCGCTTCCTGGTTTTGTGAGAACTTTCTGGCGATCAATCATAGTAAATCTCAATCCATAGTTTTCAACAGAGCAACTTTACCAACGCCCTTTGTTATTGACAGTAATGAACTGGATTACGTTACACATATGAAGCTTCGAACAACAACAAACATATGAAACATATGAGTGAACTGCGGTTATGAGACGTATATAAGAACGATCCTTCGCAGTAAAGCACTATTTGAGCAATAGTGGAAATCAGACCTGAAAAAAATTTCAGGCCTGTACGGGATTCGAACCACTGACCTCTGCGATACTAGTGCAGCGCTCTACCAATTGAGCTAACAAGCCAACTGGGAGCAGGCCATCAAATTAATTCGATATAAACCCGTAGATGATAAATCGAACAACAACAAACATATGAAACATATGAGTGAACTGCGGTTATGAGACGTATATAAGAACGATCCTTCGCAGTAAAGCACTATTTTCCACTATTGCTCAAATAGTGCTTTACTGCGAAGGATCGTTCTTATATACGTCTCATAACCGCAGTTCACTCATATGTTTCATATGTTTGTTGTTGTTCGATTTATCATCTACGGGTTTATATCGAATTAATTTGATGGCCTGCTCCCAGTTGGCTTGTTAGCTCAATTGGTAGAGCGCTGCACTAGTATCGCAGAGGTCAGTGGTTCGAATCCCGTACAGGCCTGAAATTTTTTTCAGGTCTGATTTCCACTATTGCTCAAATAGTGCTTTACTGCGAAGGATCGTTCTTATATACGACATATGAAGCTTCTTGGAGTAGTCATCGACAATTCACTCTCTTTCAACGTACACATTAAAGAAGTTTGCCGGAAAGTGAATACAAAAGTTTCAATTCTCCGTCGCATTCGTAAATTTATACCCTCAGATGTGATGATTAAATTGTACAAAGCTTTCAATCTCCCTCACTTCGAATATGCATCACCACTGTTAATAGGTCTAAGTAAGGGTCTGTCTGCGAAACTGGAGTCAACCAATGCATTCGCTCTGAGGACTCTTCTCAATTATTCTAAGTCGACTGCTTACGAAGAGTTATTGAAAACTGCAAATATTAAAAGTTTAGAACATCGACGCATAGAACAAGCACTTATACTTGTATATAAAAGTATTCATAACCAGACACCGAACTACATTCAGGAATTGTTTTCTCTGCGAAGTAATGGTTACAGCCTACGTGGCCATCTTAAGGTTGTTCTTCCAAGACCAACCTCATCTTATATGCAACATTCTTTTACGTACCAGGCTAGCAAACAATGGAACAATCTGACAGACAAAATAAGGATGTCGGAATCCCTTTCTATATTTAGGAAAAATTTGCAAGACATACAGTTGTCCTCATCGTATGACTGCAGCTGTTTGTTTTGTAAACAAATAATCTAGTCACAAATAGCAATTATTCATTCTAGATAATTAATTTTTATTTCTTACCTATTACTTATTACTTATATATGTAAATTATGTCAAAGTTTTATGGCACATTTGCATTTAAACGAGCTATTCGCTCATATGCGATGTGGCTAAATAAAGTTACTTACTTACTTACTTACTTACTTACCAACAAATCGTGCAATAGACAAAGAATTACAAGACAAAAATATGCAACAATGTTGTCTGATCATCTTGCGGTGTGCCTGACATTCATATTCCTCGCGAATTGTCTGCATAATTTGTAAATACTGCTTACGCAACATATCTACTGAATTCGAGTTTCATCAGGTTTCATGGTTCGCAACCAGAGTTTGCCAACTTCCACAATCACTACTTCCATAACCGAAATACAGTTACAGTAAAACTGTACGTTATAAAGGAGTAAAAGAAGAAACGATCTTGGATTTCCTGCAAAGGAATACACGGCGACTCGTGCGTCTAATAGTCTCTCATCAGAGCACTTCATCTTAGAACTCGATTAACGCCTTAAAAGAGAACATCGTTGGAATCAAAAAAGCCTAAAAGACCACCCACAAAGTTGACTAGAACACTACTTACCAATAACTATTGGTACCTTTGCCTCAAACAAGGCAAAGTCGCCAAGGAGGAAAATTAAAGCCGTGAAGAACAACATCGCTTTGGCCAACGGCCGGCCAGCCCGGGCGTTCAACGTTTGCTGAAAAAGTCGAGTCAAGGGTACAAAGAGCCAGCGGTCAAATTAATTAACACGCCTCCGCATACTCCCCGCATGCCCATTTTGGCTCCTATTCAAAAGGTTCCATGATGTACCCTTCCCTCATCGAAATGACTAAAATACTGGTAAACTGAAGAAGTGAGTTATCAGCAAAGTTGGGATGTTAGGAAAAAAAGGAAACGAAAGCTGAACTCTATATACTCTTGTTCCGGAGAGGAGAGGGAATCAAGTAAGAGTTTGCATTTTAATGGAAGAATTTTTTTAGATTAATAGAAGAATTTTTTAGATTAATAGCCGGAGCGGCCCATTTATTTCATGGATCCCTTTCTAAGGTGTTGTCAGAAAGAGAAATGATGATTTTCAGTTTTGAAAAAATCTATGGGCAAAATCTCTTATGGGGTATCCTGTGAGGTAGGAAGCACTAAGTTATCACGTGATCTCCACGCCTGCGTACTAACCGCTAGTGGAGACTTAGCTATTTCTTTGTCCTTTACCTTTCGTTGGAGAACGACACTTAGAAAATTTTCGTTCAATTTTTTGCCGGAATGAACGGGGAAGCCATTCAACACGCCACTCTGTTACAAAAGGTAAGAATGATTATTGAAAGACGTTGATTGCGATTTATTTTGTGAATGTTCCCCAGTTGTCTGGCGATTTTTCACCGCACTTCGTAAGTAGCTTTTGTGTCTAAAGCAATATATCTTCAATGCAGCCGATGAGAGAAGAAGTGGCATCTGGAGATGATGACCTAGCTCTGGTAAGTGCAGTTTCACTAATCTTTCGGAAATCATGCATGGGCTAACAAAATGGATTGCTTGAAAAATCTAAACAGGTTTATGTTTCACAATTCGTGATGAAGTCTTTGTTTTCGTGATTTTACCCGGTTTAGGCACAGGCGAAACAAAAGCCGGTCGGAAGCGAAGGTAAGATTGACCGCATATCTATTCGTGTAATTTCAGGCTTATTTCTTCGGTAAACTACGGTACTTTGCTGTGATTTATTTTCTATTCCGTTTCCACATAAAGTATGGTGTAATTTTTGGCTCGTTATCTTAATCAAATCCAATTTTAAACTGGCTCCCTTTGAATATCTCATTTCCTAACCGGAGTTGATTTTCCTTCAACACCGAAGCACATGTAGAGACAAGTTTGCCAAATTTAAGCCATTGTTGAGATATCGTAGTTGGGTAGGTAAACCATCCACTCCTTTCCAAATGTTAGGGAAGTTCTGTGTGCCGTCGGTAATGGAGCTTAGTAGCTTCAAACCGGGGAACCGAGAAGGGAAGTAATAATCTGGTCTACATAACTGTGTTTGTATTATTTTAACGAAGAGTTTTAGGATCGCCATTGCCGTCGATTTCGTGTCCATTTGCTTTGCCTACCGATCGAGAATATTCCGGCGTTCTCTTACACCTTGAACGCCTTTCCCTTAAGATTTTTATCCATCAGCCATCTCATTTTCGTACCCCCTACCCAGGCGTCCTTATTGCAATTGTTTGGAGTGGTTAGCTTTCCGAAAGTGTCATCTCTTTGAGAAAGTGAACAGATTCGCCTTCTCCGATCCTACTCGTACCACGAGTCATAAAAACGATTAAAAGAAATGCTTCTGTCTTTAACTTTTGCAGGCCCCGAAAGGAAAAAGATTAAGCTTGCATCGATCCAGGTACAAATCACCTTTTCATGGAAACAAACTCACCGAAAATAGTTCTTGTTTTGTCTCGTGGTTCCGCTCTCGAAGCCTTTGATGCCGGTGTATTGTAATCGATTCATTCCTGGCGTTGTTAGCGTTCAATTTTTGTAACGAAAAAAAATTTTTTGTGTATTAACGAGTATTCTTTTTTTCTCTATTCTTACAAAATTTTAATCTTGGCCTTCGCTGATTTCCTGTCGTCTAGAATGATAGAAGGTAAGATCGACAAAATGTTCACCCTCTCAGACATTTTGTTTCCCATGAAGTTATTGGGTAGAATCTTGCTACTTGTAGGGGAGGGGTAGGGCGGGTTGTACTTCTGAGAGAAAATTCTGTCTGTAAAAACGAACAACCTTGATTTATCAATTATACCATAAATGTTGTCTTATTTTTTGAGTGAGATTTTTTAATTTAATTTTTTTATGTGTATTTGACTGGTTGAGTAGGGTAAGAAGCTTTAGTCCCAAAATTATTGTTTAGTTTGAAGAGCCCCTCTCCCTCTCTTTTCAACTTGAGAGGTGGAAAGTGATGTCATACCTTTTTTTCTGATTTTTGATAAAAAGCCTCGTGGAATGTGTATTTGTTAAGATGACACTCATTCAAACCTTTGGTAAACTTGTTTCAAGATAACAAACACAACGTAAAGAAGTTCTTAACATTTAAATTCTACTTAACAGATTATAGTGGGTGTGACAATAGGGATTAAATTAAACTTGATAATATGGGTAATTAAAGACTCCTGTCAAGTTTGAACAATAAGAACATGATCCTATAAAAAGGTTACTCTGCTCTTTTCATTTCCTGTTTTTCTTATCCTAACAAAACTTCTGTTTCTGATGAATTACTTCCCTGTTTTCCTTTTACATCAAGGTCCTTGCACAGTCCACCCAAGCAAGGCATGGCAAATGTTTCTGGAAAGTTTTCTCCACATAAACCTTATGTCAACTCTACCATGAAGAGGGATCCACATCAAACTCTTACAAAGCAATCACCTTTGAACAGAAGTCAGAATGCAGAAAATGTTGCTCTAAAAAAAGAACCTGTCACACCTGTGAGTTTTACTAAATGATCAATCAGGTTTACTTGACTATCAAGTTTTGTTATAAACTGTGAAAATCTTAGAATAGCTCGTCTACTGGTGTGTTAAGTGGTTCTTAAGATACTTTATTTAGCTCAATCTTAATTATGAAATATTGTCTATGGATGATTGTCTTGTCATAAGAAATAACATTTTGGAAAAGGTAGCCCTTCTGAAGACCCGAAACTACTAAACCAGGGCTCGAATTTAATTTTTGGAGCACTAACTCTTCGGATTAGTAGACATCTTTTTTACTGACCAAACTATCAAGTTTGGTATCCAAGCTCACAAGTTACGATATCTCAAATATTAAACATTTTTATAATAACGACTAGGGCAAATTAAAGAGTAGCTGAAATTGCATGGTGACCTTAAAAATGTTGACAATTATGCACCTATTTTACTTCCCTCTCGTTTACCATGATTAGTCAAGAACAGTACATCTACAGCACATTCTCTAAAAAGAGTTTAAGTTGATTAAACGACTTGAGTATTCTAACTATTCCTCTGAGAGGTGGATCTATTTGCTCTTTGTCCTGAGGTCTACCAATGTTTAAATATGTTAGAAAATTTTACTAACCATGTCGGGTGAGTTGGACACATTTTTAGTAACCAAAGGTTGAAAATTACTAACCATTGGTTAACAGGTTACTGTTAATTTCAAGCCCTGACTAAACACTATTAATGTAAAAGAAGTCATGGGAAATGGTGAAATTTGAGCTCTGTGCTGGAATTTTAGGAAAAAGATGTTTTCCAGAAAAATCCCTATATAGTGTCATTCACAAGAATCATAATTATTTTCATGTGATTGCAAGGCTTCCAGGCCTCTGTCAGAGTTACAGTTATGGCTGGAAGGTGTTTACAATTTGATATGATAGGGTTGTAAATGTTTTAATTTTTTTTGACAAAGATAAAACAAGTGCAGTCTGCATCGAGTCAATTAGAAAGTGATGATGATGTTCCTTTGGTGAGTTTATCTTGCTCTGTTTATGTAACCAAGCCATTCCATTAAAGATAGAGAAGTACTTTTTCACAACAATTTTGATACAATGTCACGGAAACAAGCGACAAGAGGAAAGAAGTAAATTAGTTAGGGGATATGATTTGATATAAAACCAAACTCTCAAGAAAACATCCAGCAAATACGAGATGATTGGGTGTTATCAGTGAGTTAGTAAAGTAATTTGGCCACGGTGGATGCCAGAGTGTATTGCAATTAGGAAAACTATAATAGCTTAGATCGTGGGAGTACAATTGAGGAATACTACAAACTGTTAAATTTTAACCTCCCAGGGTCTCAGCTAGTGGCTGTTAACGTGCTAATTTAATTTATAACAATGTCTGATTCTCCATTTGGCTGATAAGACAAAAATATTATTCTGCTGTTTGAAAATTTTAGAACCAGCTATTATAAGAGTTGATTTATCCATAGACTTTCTAGGTACAGTCATTATAAATACTGCAATCTGACCATACTTGAGTTGATATATATTCCATTATTAATAACTTAAATGAGATTTATTTGTTGAAGTTATTGTTTCCTTTTTTTGCCATTTAGATTGCAAGAGCCCAGCACAAGTAAGTTCATTTATTTTATATATAATTATATAATTTATGTCATGATACAGGTAAGCTTTTAATTAGATTATACCCTTCCCCGAAGATAAAAGCAATTCCGTCCCAATTTTTTAAAAATTTTAAATGATAAGACTTATCCTGACTTTTTTTACAGACCTGCTGCAGCAAATGCCAAAGGTTCATCTGCAAAACCAGCAAAATCTGCTTTAAACAGTGTTGTGGCCGAAAAGAACAAAGTTGTTAAACCTAAAAAGAGTGAAAAGATGAAAGACGGGAAATCATTGAAAGCTGAGAGGAAGGTTGACAAAAAAGTGGATGGAGTGAAAAAGAAGGATGCAAAGAAAGAAAAGAAATCAGCCAGTGAAAAAGCTGCAAAGAAACAAGTTGATAGTGATGATGATGATGAGCCTTTGGTGAGAATCAGATGTTAATGTGTTTAAATTTTCCTTTGCACAACAAACCTTTACCCCACTAAGAATGACTAGCATCCAATTTCTCTTTAAAATGTCACCCCTGAATCAACATTGAGGTCATGAAGATATAGGAAATGATCACCATTGAAAGTAGCTCTTGATTGTTACACAGATCTCCTTGTCAGCCCCCTAGGAAATGTATAGAGAACAGTATGGAGAATATGCATACTAGCTGAGTATTTTACCTCATGAATGCCATCTTCAGTGCTGAATTGTTATTATTTGTAGTCATGTAAATGACAAGTGCGAGCTTGAGAGAAATCCCTTGCCAGCACCTTTTAACTCTGATGTAACACCCTTCTGTATCACAGGGCAAATTGATCCTCTTTACACTGCAATTCATAAATAGAAAACAAAGCAGCTTCCTTGTGAAATTACACTTTGAATCACATTATAATGTACAGTGCAGCTTTAACTTTGAAATTGAGACTAACTGATATTTTTCCCTTTTTTTCCTTTCACGGTATCATTGTGGTCACTGATCCAGTCTGCAAAGTGAGTAGATAAAAGACCAACTCTATGACTTGCATGTAATTCCTCTTTCATTCTTATGTTAAGTATTTACACTTTTCTCTCACTATGCCTCATAGAGCCTTGGAGAGTATAAATGGCTACCAGCAAAGTCTCTCTGAAATCTTATGAAATGAGGAAGATGGGGGTAATGCTGCAATTGATTGTTCCCCCATCAGGGAGAAGGGCTTCTTGTCCATTCATGCTACTGAACAAACTCAGTGCTCTAAAGTGTGGGAATAGAACCTACACCAAAATAGTGGGAGGCCCATACTTTGTCCCTTATTCCATATCTGAGAAACATTCAGTTTGGTGATGAGTTTGTGTATAAATACAGTCAGTCATAAATTGCTTGTAGTGTATATTAGTTATCTTACAGAGTACCGTATATGTGGTAAGCTGATGTTCATTGAAATTCAGTAGCCCTGATAGGATAATTATTTGATAATTCCCAGATTAGGTACCCCCAAAGACAACAAATCTGCAAAGTCCTCAGGATCATCTGGCACTAAGTCAAAGGGCTCAGCCTCTGTAAGTTCTTTTTGTTAATTAATTTTCTTCATGGTGTAATTTAACATGATTTTACAGTTCAGTGTATGTTTATGTTGAGACGGGTTTGCACTTAGTGCCATGTCACTTTGACAGGTGTCTGGAACAAACCATTTCATGCATTTCTCTCCCCAAACAAGTCGCTGTAACTCATTTAACTGTTGTGATCAGAATTTTGTTCTTGCAACAAATTGTCAAATATTACACTAGTTTGAATTTGTGACATGTTCTAGGGATAAATTTGTGTTGCAGCTGCAAAATTCTCCATTTTTTTCAGAAAGAAAACTGTCACTCTGTCATATTCTTGTGACTTTTGGCCTAACTTCATGACCATAACATGTACATACACGAGTGTAACTCTAGTTTTTGGAATTTGATATTTCTTGCATCACAAAATGTTTTTTGTAGCTTCTTGGGAGTATATGTGAAAGATGAGTAGCACAGTCACATAGCCATTTGCTGTAACATAGTCCAAAAATAATTATATTATTGTTTTTTCACTTTTTATCACTTTTTGACTTTAATTTTGATGGAAATGTACATTGTAATAAATATCTGTAAATATTTTTATTATTTTGCATTAATAACACTAATTTTGGTATTACCCACAATCCCTTGTGGGCGTGGCACATTTCTGTTTTTTCGTAAAATCTTAAAAAATTCAATGTAAAAATGGGAAAAAAAGAGGTTTTGTAATTGTTATTTCACATTGTTATTTCACATTGTTATTTCTTTTCTTTCCATCTACTTCGGTTGAATTCCCTCAGTGAACTGCACTACAAACGGTGCACGTGGTGAAAATCACGCAATACATTCATTGTGATGCAATAATCTGCCTGTAGCGGCCGACACAAGCGAAGCAAAATTTCGACGACAACTATGAGTTTCGCAAATGAAGACACACTATGAAGCGAGGATACATTTTACGGACAAGCCTTGAATCGTTTTATTTAACGTAGTCGTGGTATCCAAGTACTTATCGTAAACTGAAATATGAATTGATAAGGAAGAAGCTGAGCTAAATGCGAATAGACAAACAACATTCCAAACATTCCGATATAAAGGCAAGACGCAAAGCTAGCTAAAAACTCAGACAAACTCACAAAAAAACTATATATAAGCTCAAGGAAAGGAACATTAGCACTTGCATAACAGTCCCGTTTGTAAGAATTGAACCAAAACGAACTTCAATATAAGTTAGGTATTCGGAAGCGAAACGGGAAATCCAAACAGACACTTACTCTAACACAGAAAACTGTAATCTTACGGCAAACGACAACAACCAAACGATAAACAAAAAAAACTTCAACTACTCTTCTCTAAAAATCGCACACGTCAACATTAAAAAGGGTCCGCGTGATTTGCTTACGAGATTACTTCGTAACCTCAAACACGCGCACTGTCTGTGTAAATGATCCATGTGCTTTCAAAGAGAAGCTGCGAAGGGGCAGATTTCGTGGAAGTTTTGGTGGTGTTTTTCGCCATATCTCTTCGTCACTTTCCTTCGTTACGGTTCATGAACACGGCAGCAATGGCGGAAAGTGTTTCCGCGTCGACGAAACGCAAATTTCTAGCATTAGATCCAACGAAATGGGTTGAAACGTTCTGTAAATTTAGCTTAACACAAGCCCATTCCAGGAGAGGTGACCTTGTTTATTCAGCTTAACAAGAATCCCGTCTGCCTACGGATCAATCGGTGGATATGTGATGGAATTAAGCTCAATATGGCCGCTACGAAATGTGTTTTCGCACGTTTTATTTTGATCTGGAAAACATTCTACTTGACGGTTCAACTTCAGCGTTGGTTTGTAAATACTGCGATGTATGCCCATTACAGTTTTGTTATTTGTTTGTTTCTCACACAGTCGAAATTGTCATTATTGCTAGTTTTATACAMTATGGTTGTTTTAACCGTCCCGAGGGTTACATCGTTCAGTGATAAAAACAGACGTTTATAACTTACGTTAGAATGAACCATTCTTGTTGCAAATCATACTGCCTGTTCCTTTTGTCATAAACTACTAACGGCCAAAAAATAGTGGCTCCACGTGCATTCGGTATCGAAATATTACATTTTTTTCTTCCGTCTGATACATTTCATGTTACGCGTTACACCCAGAAATTTACGCATTTTCAGGAAATATTTAGTTTTTACAATTTTAACTTTTTTCGCAAACCTTGTTTTCTTTACACCAAAATGAAGTAGGATAACTAAGCTTACACTGTGGAAAGTGTGAGATTTAGAGGTTAAACCTTCCCGAATATATTTGTCAGCAAAGGCACTTGAGTCCAAAATGGCGGGGTGACTGTGCTACTCATCAAAATCTTTTTCATTTTGGATACAGACTCACTTGTTCATTCTTTGAACAGCTTAAAAGAAAGAAGAGTGCAGACTCAGGAAGTGACAGTGATGATGATTATAAACCTTTGGTACGTGGTGGCTGCAATTTCCCTCTGTTATAGAATTCTTTTTACGTGTTGTGCAGTGATATGGTACAGAGAGACTCCTGATACAAGGAATACATTACTAACATTAGAGCCCAGCCTGTAGGCCTTAAACTTGAGCCAAATACTTTATCATCTAGCTCTCTAAACAACCAGTGTGCATTTCTTTTTGCTGTCACCTTTTTGCCTTACAGGTCAAGACTGCTAAGAAAAGTACTCCTAAGATAGCAAAGAAGGAGGACAAGGGTGGCTCCATAAAAAAGAAGGTTAAAAAAGATGCAAAGGATAAAAAAGAAGAAGACAAGGTATAGTGAAGTCTTAAATTATTGATTTTTACCCTTCTACATTCTTATTATACTAGGTACGTGCAATTTGTTAGATGATGTACCTGCCAATTTTCACTGGGTCAAATGAGTGAGACTGTCATCTCCTCATGACCAGAATTTCTGAAAAGTGTTCTGGCAACTTGAGATGATTGCTCAAAGACTTCTGAACACTTCTGAAGCTATTTGAAGTTTTTCCAATGGCTCTCAAATGTATTGATGACTCAAACCCACATTATGCCCTGTTTGTTAGAACATTTTTCTGGGAATATTTGAATTGAATTTTTTTTGTTACTGTGTTCAAGAACAAGTCATCTGGACTTCTAAGTCAGGCTTGAGAAAATTGTCCTTTGATCAGCTGGTGTGAGTCTCATGCATTATGTGCAAGAGTTGGCAAGTACACTTGATGATTGGATAGGAAAGTTAATGTAAATCAAAAATGAAAGCAACTGTAAGAGTGACTTTATGCAATGTATTTTTGTATTTATCTCCATGACTTATGTAACTACTTATAAGGACTAAGTTGACATGAAGTCTGTACCATTCACCCAATTTTAAGATGATCATAATGCCATGAAGGTTGTACAGGTCAGAAAAAGCCTAACTAAACATACAATTTAGCACTCATGATCTTATCAGCAAACAGTTTGCAAAAATTGTTCTCGATCATCAAACATGAAAGCTTACAACACCTCCCCCCAGCTTTAACATACAGTTTATTTCTATTCTCATTCTGTAGGCAAAGGAAAAAGGAAAGAAAAAGAAAGAAGAGGAGAAAGAAGTGTGGAAGTGGTTTGTATCTTTATTCTAATCACTGTCAGATATCTTTTTTAAGACAGTTAATAAATCAAGTGTAATTTTTTATCCTTACAGAATACTAGATCTTTTTGGGATTTTCAAGTTGAAATGAGTTTTCTATTTGTTCCAAAGGTGGGAAGAAGAACAGCTCCCTGATGGTGTCAAGTGGCTTCATTTGGAGCATAAGGTAGTTTCAGTTTTGTTAGGTTGTGTTTTATGGATTGGAAATGCATCCTACACCTCATATTTTTTTTTTTCAACTGTAAGTCATGTATTTGTGAACATTGTGATTATGGTTTTCTTATGTTTCCAAGACACTTGATTTAGAACACTAGCAATACTACCAGTGCCATTTATGACGATAAACAATGCCATGCATTACTTACAACATGGTAACTGTACATTTCTGTTTACGGGGTTACAACATTACAAATAAGAACTAGTTTATTCAGTGAAGTTGCCTGTGATAAACTAGTCTTGGTCCTATGTATACACATAAATCCCTGTGTACTTGCTGACTGAGTGGAAGGATAGGATGGGTCATATTATACTTTGTCTTTAGTTACTAAATAACTGATAATTGTCTTCTAGGGTCCGTATTTCCCACCTTTGTATGAGCAGCTACCTTCTGATGTCAAGTTTTATTATGATGGTGAGCTCTGTTCTTCTGCAAAGTATCGGTATAGCTTAGCTACACAGAATGTATGTTATAAGTCATTTGGAATTATACACCTCTCTCAAGTACAGGAAGCATTTTTTGTAATTCAAATTATTTTTTGGAATTTTATTGTCAGGAAATCACATGAAACTTAGTTTAGCAGCAGAAGAGGTATGATTAAATCACTTTAGTTTTTGAAGAACTTCTTTTTTTTTTATCCAACAATGTCAAACCAACAGAGGGTAATTCTCCAGTAATTACTGCATTGTGTAGTTTTTCACTCACTGTAAAATGTTATTCCAGACAGTAAGTACCTCACCTGTCATCCCCATGTGAAGACAGCTGCATTGTACAGTTTGAATTTTAAGTATCAGAACATTTAAATGTACATTTTATAAGCTCGTTTTAGGATCGTATATTAATTTACAGTATGTTTTTCATTGTAGAATTCTCCATTTTTGGAAGTTTTAAGAGATGGTGCAGCATAATCACTGTAAACTAGCTCTATAATTTTTATTGATCTGATTTGTTTTCAGGTGGCATCATATTATGCTAAGATGCTTGACCATGATTACACCAGCAAAGAGATCTTCAACAAGAATTTTTTTGAAGACTGGAGGAAAGAAATGACAAATGAAGAGAGAAAGATCATCAAAGATCTCAAGAAATGTAACTTCAAAGAAATGCACAGTTACTTTGTTAAGGTAAATACAGTGAATATGTATTTGATTTCTTCTTTTTTTGTATTTGGTATAAATTATTCAGATACCTTTGACTCAAATTAGGGGTGAGAGTGTCTGCAGTATGCTTGGTGCTGATCACAATTCACAAAGAAGCTGATGTAAAATGGTCTGACAGGTGGCAGATTTCTGCCATCTATCAGTTTCTAATGACAACCTCATGTCTATCCATTCACTTGTAAGATTATTTGTGGGTTGCTTATTGGGAGCTTTCTAGACTCTGGGCTGTCTACCAAAAAATAGTCACGCCATGTCAATAAAGTATCTATATTTCCTCATAGAAAAACGAGGAGAGGAAAAATTGGACAAAGGAACAGAAACAGGTGCTCAAAGAACAAAATGAGGCAATTCTGGAAGAGTATGGTTATTGTCTCATGGATGGACACAGGCAAAGGGTCGGCAACTTCAAGATTGAACCCCCTGGTTTGTTCCGAGGACGTGGAGACCACCCTAAGCAGGGGAAATTTAAGAGGAGAACTATGCCAGAAGATGTGATCATAAACATTGGCGAGTAGGTGTCAATTTGTAGTGTTTTGTTCAATAAAAGCATGTTCTTTATCTACTTAAGATAAGAAGGAGAATATAAGATAATTTATGTAGAAAGAATGTTAGAAATTGTGACTCCCAGGCTTTTCTTAGATTTCTGAATCAATGTGTGAAAAAGGATGGAAATTTGGAAGCAGATTTGCCAGTCCTAGTAAAAGGTTTGGAAATGACTTATAAGCTGGCTGTGGTCTTTTTAGCTTATCTTAATTCACTTGTCTGAGTTACTTTTTCCAAGATCTTTTCTTGGCAAATTGGGATACTTCCAGTTTTTTGGATGACCCTGTGATGGTAATTTGGTAGAAGTGTGAAAGAAGCTTTCCTTTTCGTGCACACGATCATGTGAATCCTGGCTCATGTTCCTGTTTCTTGTGCAGGGAGATAATATTATTTTCTGTTTGACTTTCTCTTACCTTCATGTAATACTCAACAAATTGCTAGAATTAACTTAACTCGATTTAATATGTCATACAGGAAAATTTCATTTGCCTTTTTTTTTACAGAGGGGCAAAAGTTCCAGAACCACCAGAAGGGCACAAATGGCAAAAAGTTATTAATGACAACAAGGTATGGACTTTTTTTTTTTTTTTTTTTTTTTTTTTTTTCATTTGCTAATTGTACACTATGTTGTTAGTAATCTTCATCAAGGATAAATTTGTCACAGGAAGTGATATGGAAAGGTAAAACAACCATTGGGTTGACTAATTTACTGCTTACAGAACAATGTAATGTTCAGAAGTGATTTGATATTGTAGCCATTTTTTTCCCTGCAGGTTTCCTGGTTGGCCTGCTGGGTTGAGAACATCCAAGGAAGTTATAAGTATGTCATGTTGAACTCCACGTCAAGGTTAAAGGTACAGTAGGAGGAAAATTTTTATTTCAATCTGTGTTGTGTTCAATTGTGCAACAACACTGTAAGCTTAAATTGAAGTACATTTTGATAAATTTGTATCCAACAAGCAATCAGATGGGCAGGGCAAACAACAAGTGTCCTAGAAATTTGTCTGAGTGTACAATAGCTGTAGCAAATTAAAGCTTTTGCTAGTTACATGTAATTCCAACTCTCTTTTCATTAATTCTATTGCAGGGGGAAAAGGACTGGCAAAAGTATGAAACAGCAAGAAAATTGAAGGTAATTAGAGTGATGCAATATTTGTGATTCCTGACTAAAGGAAACCTACACAGGTTTAACCCGGTAAATCCTAAGAGAGACAAACAAGTACAGTAATGCTGTAGTTTCTGACTAATATCACCCCTGAATCATGCATTAAGGTCACCTTCTTATAAAGCTCTCCTTGTCAGCCCCTTACAATTGGATGAAGAACAGCATGGAGAATGTACTTGTAAACTGAAGTTAGGGTGTAATGGGTTCATATTTTATTCATGTTACACAGGACTGTGTTGAAAAAATCAGAGAAGACTATCAGCGGGATTGGAAGGCCAAAGAAATGAGACTACGGCAAAGGTTTGTTTACAATGGTTGTTGAACCAAGAAGTGCTTTTAATAAGTCTATGTAACATGAATAGCAGTGTTATAGAAAATGTCAATGGTCATTGTAGTTTTAAAGATATCATATGAAAGTTTATTATGATTAGAAGATGTTGTTCCCCCATAGGTTAGCTTTGTTACTGATTGGCTGTTGTGCTTTCTGATAGAAGGCATCCATGTGTGGGGAATTTCAACTGTGTTGTCTCTATTGATGTTATTAAGATGACCATAAACCTAGCCTGGTCCCAAACAGGAAGGTGTTGACATCATTTTCCCCTTAGTGTGTCTTGTAGCTTGTTTATCACTAATCTGTCTTGTTCTTTCTTTTACAGAGGTGTCGCCCTTTACTTTATTGACAAGGTAAAGCTTGAAGCTTCTTTTTAAAATCGTGGTTTACTCCATAATCTTTGTCTCCATTGGTTCTATTCAAGGTTGGCTCAGGCTATCCAATTTGTACCTTTCAAATCTTTTTCTTGTCCTCTCCTTTGTCAAGCAAGTGTTGTCAGAATGTATGATAACCTGAACACTTAATATCTTTTTTTTTGTAAATGTACTTACATGTGGTCACTAAGGCTATTTTAGATTTTTTTCAATGAGCAAGTGGTCATTAACTGATTGTATTGTAACTTTTTTCAGCTGGCTCTTCGTGCTGGACATGAAAAAGATGAAGAAACTGCGGATACTGTTGGCTGTTGTTCATTGAGATTTGAACATATCAGTAAGTATTTCATCTTAGGCTCTTTTTTGTTTTTTATTTTTTTTCTTGACCAATGATTTAAATTTCTCACTTCTGTGTTTCAATCAGTAGCCTCATGAAATGCCTTTTCTTCCAGAATTGCATGATGAATGGGAAGACAAGGAGAATGTCGTAGAGTTTGATTTCCTCGGTAAAGACTCTGTCCGATACTGGAACTTTGTTCCAGTGGAAAAGAAGGTAACTATTGCACAACTGTCATCTAGCCACTGGACCCTCTGTTAAGGGGACACCCTTGGGACCAGAAAGAATGTTCCCCTTGACAAAATTGTTCTTTTAGTGAAGGTAACAGTTCCAAAAAACAGAGGAATACTTTTCAATAGGGGCCCATGTTGGTGACCTTAAAACCTGAGGAATCCACTGTATTGCAGCATTCAATATTCAAAAAATTAATGTGTTTTTGGTCTTAAGTTCATGGTTTTCATCTATGAATGGTCTCTTTTTTATCTTTGTAACATTTTTCAATGAAAACACATCTAAAGTAGGGAATCTTTAAATGATAGATTGCAAAGGTAATTGAACACTAAGGAGGCCAAAACAGACCAAAAAAGGACCAATTGTGGTTTTTTGTAGTCCCAGTTAACTCCTAAGATCTGATTGTTAATTCTCTCCTCTAGCTGTTGCACCATTTCCTTGTAAATTAGTTAGGAGAATTTGATGTTAAATCAAGATAACTTTTCCATGTTAATTATCATTTCTGGCTAAATTAAGGATGGAGAAGATCAAATGGATTATAATGAAGTTGAATATCAACCATATCTTTTTAAGGATTTACTATGCAAACTGCAACTTGGTCTTTTTTTTTTCTAACATTGTTTATTTATCATTTCTATACATTTTCCCATCACAGGTTTTCAAGAATCTAGCCATTTTTATGAAAGGAAAACAGAATGGTGATGATCTTTTTGACAGATTATCTGTAAGTGTCTTTTCCCTGACGTTTTAACCCTTTAACACCCAAGATCTGATTGTTAGTTCTCCCTTCTAGCTGTTATACATTTTTCTTGTAAATCGGTTATGAGAATTTGGTGTTACATCAAGATAACTTCTGCCTGAAAAGTTTGAGTTTGCCATGCAGATTGTTTTAACAAAGATGGTTTTGAAGCACATATTTTCATTCGCAAAAGCTGGTAAATCCAAGATAAACAAATTTGATCCAAGTGCCATGAAATAAACTACTCACCTTCCTCGCTGCACTTGGTCCATAGCCCATTGTAGAAACGTGAGAGGACTGGGACAAGTTTCTTATATTGATATTTTAGATTGAAAATCTAAACATTTCAACTGAAATGTAACTGAGTGAAAAGCAACCCAGTCAAGTTTGAGAGTTTTCAGCGGAAAAGTGTCCAAATCGGAGACTTGCAAAAGTTGCAAAAATTTCATACAAACCCTTAAAATTTTTTGGCCTGTCTATCCAATCCATAAACTCTCTGTTTTGGGTGATCTTTGAAGAGCTGTCATTTTGCCATTTTCCTCCTCTAAATACTGTCCTCTATTCTTGCTTAAGACTCTCAAATTTGACTGATCTTTCATTTGAATATCCTAGTTTTTCAAACAAACGGAAAACAACCACACTCTTTCCCAGTCCTCTCATGTTTCTGCATTGGGCTATACCACCATGACCTCAGGCCAATATTCCCCAGTGCTACCCTCATGCTGAGGTAGTAAGAAACTAGTCGTTATGTGAAAACAGTGTGCAGTGAAGAACCTAGAAACAATCTGAAGTGGAAATTTTCTGTTTTTTTAGACAACTTCTTTGAACAAGTACTTGTCAGAGCTGATGGATGGACTTACAGCCAAGGTATTCAGAACATTCAATGCCTCCATGACACTCCAAGATCAACTAAACAAGTTAACAGAAGCTGAGGACAATGTCAATGCAAAAGTGTTAGCATACAACAGAGCAAACCGTGCTGTGGCCATGCTATGCAACCATCAGGTAATTATGCCCATGCTGAGTCTGCTGACTATATAGATTACATTTTCCCTGGTTTTTATTTGGTGTTATGTGTTAAGCTGAACTTTACATGCAGCTTGTTTGGTCCCTACTTTATTTATATCGTTAACTGTGCGTGTGCACTCTGGTAGATCAAAGGCAGTATTCTAGACGTGTTGATGTAAAATTCTTAAAGTTCATACATGTTGCTCATGGTTTTTCTTTCTATTTTAGCGCACAGTCCCCAAGACCTTTGAAAAATCGATGTCAAATCTTCAAGAGAAGGTTTGAACTTGTGACTTTCTTTCCAAGAGTTATTTATCTACTCGATGTTCATGCAGTTATGTACTCCAAACTGATTTTGTTGGTTTTACCCTTCTGTTGTAGATTGCTGCAAAAAAGCAAGCAATCAAGGATGGGAAGAAAGAACTAAAGGTTTTGAAAAATCATGCAAAAGAAAGCCAAGATACAAAAGTGATGAAGTATGTTACTAACTAAAGGGACCTGTTATTTTTCTAATTATGGTAATACTTTATCTTTGCAGAGGGATTTTACATCACAAGATTTAGTGTGGAGTTATATTCCAAAATGATTGCTAAACTCTTATGATCCATTGTCGGTCAAAAATTTTATTGTTGTATTAGCAAATCCAGTTTGGATCAAGTAATTGTCTTCCTGGTGTTAAGAGGTAACAAGTTGAACCTAGGTTAAGACTGTAGACTACTTATGATTATGTGGGTTGTGTGTGTTTATATGCAGAAAATGGAGCTACATTAGTTTGGAGTGTCCTTAACTTTCCTTTCTGCATCATGAAGGTGTTCTTGCAATCAGTTACCAAGTCATCTTCCTTTTTCATAAATGAATATCTTCTTGCACTAAGTGCAAGTTAGGCAATAGATGACATTGGCACATGAAGGTGAACAAAAATCTGTCTTTCAAATTGGCACTCTTAATTGCCATAATATAATTAATTTATTCTTGTTTTTCTTGTCAGCATGTTCCCACCAATAGCCTAGCTCCATTTTCTGCATATAAACGTACACACAATTCTCTCATACCCTCTGTCAAAGGGCTAACGCTTGAATCATCAAACTTGTTATACTCCCCCACCAACACAGAACAACTATTTCTTTAGAAATTTACCCCCTTTACCTGATAATCTTTTACAAAATGTTTTTTCTTTTGTCTGCAGGCAACTAGACAAGAAAAAAACTCAGGTTCAAAAGTTGGAGGATCAGCTCTTTAAGTTGGAGGTGACAGCAACAGACAAAGAAGAAAATAAAGAGATCGCACTTGGTACCTCAAAACTTAATTATTTGGACCCACGAATTTCAGTGGCATGGTAGGTGAAAGAACTATATCCCCTGCCATGATGCTTAAGCTGTTGATTTGGGTTGAGGTTTACCTTATTTTCCATTGTAAAATACAGTGGCAGACAGATGTCAGGAAAGAGGAGAGAGGTTCTCCACTGCTGTTGTGCATTTTAAGATGGGAAAAAAATATTTCACTATACACCATCAGCTTGCAGTACATGTATTTCAGGAAGCCCAAGTTGAGGTTCACTTGACTGGGGTTGTGGAGTTGATCATGAGTTTGCCAGCAAAGGAAATGTAAAGAATGATACGATGAACTTATTATTTTAGAGGAGGAGATCATTAAACATGAGGTGACATAATAGAATTTTGAACTCCTCTCAAAGAAAAATTAGCCAGAGAATTAAAGAGCATATGTAGTTTTAAAGGCTGATAGTTTCGAAGGAAATTGTTTGGGGCTGCGTCGGTGTGAGTAACGAAATAACTTGGATATATCAACAAAGTTGAAGTGGTAAATTGGCCACCGTAACGATTACAAAAGCTGACGTTTTGAGCGTTAGAATGCTCGAAACGTCAGCTTTTGTAATCGTTACGGTGGCCAATTTACCACTTCAACTTTGTTGAAATATCCAAGTTATATGTGTAGTTTTAGTTCTCTGTTCTTTTACTTAAATTGTAATATAAAGTGTGACTACTGAGGTTTGTACACCTTTTAACCCAGTTGTTAATCTGTTGTGTTGTTTTTGCATTTTAAGGTGCAAGAAACATGGGGTGCCAATTGAGAAAGTTTACAACAAGACACAACGTGAGAAGTTTGCCTGGGCTCTTGACATGGCAGAAAAAGACTTTGTTTTTTGATCCAGGCTTTTCCATGAACACAGCTAGCATAGTAGTCATTCAATTTTAGCTCACATATGCTTACACTTGTCATGGACCTCATATATAATTTAATTTGATGTTATTACTATTGTTATTATTATTATTATTATTATTATTATTATAATTATTATTATTATTATTATTATTATTATTATTACTGTTACTACACTTAAATGTTCTGGGAATGATTTTTGAGATTTTAGCTGTGGATGAGAGAAAAATAAGAAAATACAACAAAAGGGAACAGAAAATTTCAGTCTGGGACAGTAACTAAGTTCCATTTGTATACTAGTATTAGTATATGACATAATTGACCAATTATTTATTTTTAAAGAAAATTCTATTTTACCGTAGGTAAGACTATTTGGTTTTGAATGTCCCTCAGTGTGAAACTTTTGCATTCATAAAAAATGAAAGTTAGGCTCTTTAACCTCCTTACCAGAGCCCCTCTGTTGCAAAGGAAGTTTTGAATTGCCTCAAGCCTTTCTGAAAAATATTGACTGCAAGTGGGAGGTCCTCAGATCATTTCCTGGTCAGTAACACAATCATTTTAAAAAACTGACATCGCCTCTTTTTCATACCAATAATGACTTTTCCTCTCTTGTGGGTAGTTTTAACTTAGGTTTTAACTTGAGCTGACAGAGAATTCCAGTCTGTAGGGACATTTGATACTGTAACATTCTCAGTTATGTATCATCATGGGATCAAAATTAAGTCTTGTCTTGAGATTTCAATGAAAATGTCACAATTAACAACACAATTTGTTCTGCTTTTACCTTTAGTATGAACCTTTTTGGAACTTTATTGGTTACATATTCCATGTACAATTTGTTTCAGAATTAAACAATACTGAGACTAGTAATCCGATGAAAGTATTGAGTTGTTGAATAGGGATAGTTGCGCAGATCTTGTGGAGAAATGAAGTAAATGTACCTAGTCTACTTGATTTGAGACATTTCATTGGCAACATATCCAAAGTGCGTTTTTTAGGTGTAGTATAAAGTGTTGAACAAAACTGTAATTACTTTAAATTAGTTGTAATTATCCTGACAACCTTCATGACATACAATTATGATGTAGGTAAGATATTTCTAGCCCACCTAGTTTAAGAATTCTCCAGTATCTTGTTAATCCTGAAAAACTATTTAAGCATGTTTAATGCTCAGATTAAAACTGCTCTGTTATATTCTCTTAGCAACGTGTAACAACCTAAAAACTTGTTGTACTTAGATCATACCTTAGTGTTACTGTACAAAATGTTTTTTAGATAGACAACCAAAAGCTTCCATTAGATTTAAGTTTAAACATTTTAAAATTTTAGATCTTAACCACTGAAAAAATCTCACCCACTGAAGCAGCACCTTGCACTATGGAATATGTGAAGGCTTCAAAATAAAGATTGTAGCCTGTTCTTTTGTGTGTTATGTGTGCTGTGAAATCGTAATTATTGGATGGGTTTTCAGATATTTGGCTCTTTTGGGTAATGGACCTGCCAACAACTCTACATAAAAACTTTACTGCATATGATATTGAGTTTTTAGAGCTTCATATGACTTTATGAGTAAACAAGTTTGTTAGATGCTGACACTTTCCAATTTCCATAATCATTTAGTTTTAATTTTCCTTGAATGAACACTGACAGTAAAATATATGATTCCTATATTCAGACTAGTCAAGACTAATTTGTGAAATCCCTCAGTCAGAGGAATATAGCAACTATTATGAAGCAACACTGAAACTTAAAGCTGTGCAGTCCATATGTGGCAGAGTTCCAAAAATCCTCTTTAAAGCGCAGTGAATTGTAAGCTGAGCGAAATTTTCTATGCAGCCAGCAGGCACTCTGCCAAAAGCCAACATTTTTCCAGTGGTGCACGCTCCTTTTCATTAGCCTCATGGAACACACCACAGAATGTGCACTGCTTGCATGGCCTGACAATAATATAAACTGTAAACCAAAAAGAGGTGAGAAGTAAATATACTTTATAAAAATATTTGAAACGAAAAAAAAAAATGCTTATATAAAATGATGCTCGAACCGAGAAACCACCAACGACAGTTGTGGGAGTTAGAACTAGAGGCATTCTCAAATTGTACATTCTTAGATTCTTATATGATGAATATATGAAGTTCATATATTTTGAACTGCGGTTATAGATACGTATGATGCACGATCCTCGCAGTAGAGAGCGCTATTTATGCAATAGCGAAAATCAGACCTGAAAAAAATCAGGCCTGTACGGGATTCGAACCACTGACCTCTGCGATACTAGTGCAGCGCTCTACCAATTGAGCTAACAAGCCAACTGGGAGCAGGCCGTTAAGTTGATTCGTAATAAACCCGTGATGATAAATCAGATACAATGAATATATGAAGTTCATATATTTTGAACTGCGGTTATAGATACGTATGATGCACGATCCTCGCAGTAGAGAGCGCTATTTATGCAATAGCGAAAATCAGACCTGAAAAAAATCAGGCCTGTACGGGATTCGAACCACTGACCTCTGCGATACTAGTGCAGCGCTCTACCAATTGAGCTAACAAGCCAACTGGGAGCAGGCCGTTAAGTTGATTCGTAATAAACCCGTGATGATAAATCAGATACGATGAATATATGAAGTTCATATATTTTGAACTGCGGTTATAGATACGTATGATGCACGATCCTCGCAGTAGAGAGCGCTATTTATGCAATAGCGAAAATCAGACCTNCCCGGTCTCGTAGTTGTCACAATTGAAGCATGTTCAAGAAGTTTCCCGGTCACAAGCCACTGATAAAGAATTTGGAGCGGCATCTTCTCTTCAATGCTTCTGGGACGAGGAGGCGCCACGGCCACGTTTGTGTTATCTTTGAGTTCGTCAAATCCTTCAAAAAGTATGAGGACACATTCAGGGTGCCGTTGGATGTAATTCCAGACCTCATCAAAAGACGTTTACCAAGTTGAATCTCCTGAGTTTTACAAAGAAGGCAGCATTAAAATGGATCATTTGGGCAGTAGGGAAAAACTCCCTCAAATGCCCAGTCTCTGAGAAGTTTAGTACAACATAACGTTTTGCCGATTCCGGGACGACCGACAATCAAAACTTTCTTGTTTTCATCATTTAGGAGGTCTTCCAAGCGTTTCGGTTGTGATTCTTCGTCGCGCGACCTAGGATAAACTTTGAGTTGCTCTTGTCTGTCTGTGGTAAAGTTGTACGTATCCCTGTTGGGGATGACCGCAAGGTTTGTGTAAATCTGATCCAAAGTCAAACCTTCGGCTGTTGTTTCTTCGCCAGGAGGACGTTGAAGCGGTGCCTTTGGAGTTTGACGAGATGATGAGTGTCTTCTCTTTATTATTTTCTTAGCGTGCGCGATAAATCGTTGAAGCTGTTCAGGCTTATCAAATCCGCTCCTTCCAAGTGGCTGTTGAAGTTCTTGATGCGACGCGGCTTGATCTCGTGGCTGTAGTGGGACAACAACATCTGGCTTTTGAAGTTCTCGGTGTAACTCGACTTGGGTCGGAAGGTGTTCACTTTCTCGTGCTTGTAGTGAAACATCTTGCCGCTGAGGTTCTTGGTGTAACTCTACTTGGGTCGGAGGGTGTTCACTTTCTCGTGGCTGTAGTGGAACATCATCTCGCTCTTGGGGTTCTCGGTTTAAGTCGACTTGGATCTGAGGGTGTACAAGCTCAGTTTCATGTCCTCTTCTACGTTCGTGCTTTTGAGGCTGTTCCTGATGCGATTCATAGTTAGGATTTAGATGGGTTTGTAGAAAGTCTAAATTTTGCATGAAGTTCCTTTTTAGGCAAGCTCGTGACATAATGTAGACGGTTTCAATCAGAATGCTAGTGACAAAAATTCCGTTCAATGCAAGGACAGCGTACATCCAAAAAGTTTTCTTTACTGTTTTTTGGTTGTGACATTCCCGGCGTGAAAAGTACTGTTTGGAGCGCCTGGCTGATTAGTTCCAGTGTTTAAATAACAGTCAAACTTTGAGGGAAACTTAAAGGGATAAAGCCACTGAGTTTGTACGTATATGAAGAGGAGTCTTAAAGTAAGTCTCGTGGATAGTTGACAACAGTAAGCGATAAAAAGCTTGTGTCGGCAATTTGTTGTTGGGTTTCCTTGGTCGAGCGACTGTCCTGTTGGGTTTTCTTGGTTGCGACACTGGCCCTCTAGGTCATCTCTGTTACGAATGTTCGGCGACAGTTGATCGACTGTATTTTTCTCTATTTGGGAGAACATGACACACACAATACCAATAAGGACGAAATTGATGATCACGAAACCATAGACAGGAATACCGTATTTGTTGAACTGATTCGCGTATTCCTCGAAACATTTTCCACGGACGAGGTCGATGTTTTCAGTATTCTTCGCTCCACCACAACGGAAATCAAACCTGGATTCACTGTTCTCCACTTCGGCAAAAATGCTAAAGAAGATTGCACTGATTACAAACCAAATTAAAACTGCGGCATAGCTGATTTTGTAGTTGAAGGTTTTTGGCGAAATTGCTTCCTTGAGATGATTCATCGTTTCAATACTGTTTGTATTTTCGCTGTTTTCAATGAGATGAGAATCGCTCTGTAGCTTTGGTTATGGACTTCTGGTGACTCATTGTTTCAGATTTTAAGGTTGTTTCAGTATGGCAAAACTACAATTTCAACCCTTGGCAAACTTACAGCGGGCAATGATTTGTTCTCGCACGCCATCATTTTCTCGACTTCACGAGAACTGAAGCGGGAAAATAAAATAGACATATGCGGTTGCTTGCCTGGGTAAAATTTTCTCTGTTTTTAATTCATGAGATTCTATGAAATTTCTTTGAAAGAGGAGCCAAAGGAACAATTTCAAGTAAGGCGTAAAATTTCGCTTTCTCAGAGTTTAAATTAACTCTGGCTTTCTGAGGCAAATAGCGCACGCTTAGAAGCGTCACCACAAAATAAATTGTGAGTATAGTGTCACTGAAAACTCTTCTTTTACCTTTGCCTAAGGCCAGGGCTTTTTATTGAGTATGTAAGCTTCCCACGTCGCTCGACTTTTATTTTCCAAAGAGTTTGCAATAGCGCATGTTTCCTCTGTTACACCTCAGTGACTGCAAACTGTGATCTTGACTTATCAGTGAAGAGATGAAAGACGCTCTCGTAGGAAACTGAAACCATGCATTTCTGACCCGAATCTAGGGATTTGCATAACTTCAGTGCATCTTTGTATTCTCCAAATAATAATGACCACTCTCATTTTATACCTGCCCGTTCTTTTTGTTTTAAAAAGATGCTTACTCGTCTGACTGAAAAAAAAAAAAAAATTTCGTCCCCTTCCTGATGACTGCCTCAAAGTGGTGAACGGTCAAAAAGGCAAGATTTTCACCGTCAATCTTGCTGCAAAATAATAGTTTTGAAAAAGGGTGTTCAAGTTTCCCAAAGAAACTTGGAATGTAACAAAGTAACAACTCTGAAGAAGTAGATGTTGGACCATAGTTTAGTTCCCGTCTACTAACTATGGTTGGACTCAACTAAGATGTTCTTCGGAGTTGTTGTCTCGCTGTATTTTCCTCATTTGTCGTTAGGCCTTTTCCGATTGTGCTCGTAAAATGTTTTGGAAGGTTGCTTAGTGGAAAACCAAAACCGTTACTGACTGGATTGCCAAAAATAAAAAAAGTAATCTCTTACGTTTCTTGATATTTTCATAACGTTAATTAAAAGCCATGTAGAAGGACTTAACACATAACTGTCAACCATCATCAGTGTAGCGTTTACGGCGGCCAAAATCTAAATTCTCAAGTTCAAGGGCGTGTCGCTCCAAAACGCGGTTAACGAGGTGTTTGGGACTATTTTACTGATCGAAATGACAACCCAAAGTTGACTGTTTGCACGAATCTTTATTCTTGAAAGGCAATCGACCACGAACCACAATTAATGACGAAAATAACGATTATTCTGACAGTCAATCAATCTATCGAACGATCGATCGTAAAATATCGGTCCCGCTTGTGCCAGAGGTTGAGAAAACGAAAGGGCGAAAGTTTACCAAGGCTATTCAAAACTTACGAAGAACTGATTAAAGGGACGCCAAATTTGCCTTTTATATGCGCGTGGTGACGCTGAAAGGTCCGATTACAAAACCAATAGAAATACAGAAAAACAGATAAGCATTGTAACTATGTGGCTATCTAAGATCATTCTGAAATTAGTGAAATATAAAAATAAAATAATCAATCAGAAATGAGCCCTTTGGCTAATGTCCTTAACAATCAGAGATACCACCCCATCGAGACCCTGCTACACAAACTAAGCCAAGCGCTGTGACGCACCAGCTGTACAAAGGAAAAAACATTTTGACTATTTGAATCCATGATTTAAGTAAATTGAAAAAAAAAGAAAAAAAAAAAAAACGTGTATTGATTCATACCAGATCGGAGTCTCGTTTCAGTTTAAGTGCGAGAAAAAAAAAAAACTATTTTCGATTGGGTTTGTTCCTTTTTTTATCTCAATTGTAGACCGAGTTGGCCCTGGGCACAAACTGTCTTCCTTATCAACCAAAATGGCGGAGGAATAACAATGAGCGAGTCGGAAACATGGAAAAGAAGGATTCCGATTATCATGATAATTTCTTTGCGAGTTTGAACCAGCTCATCTTAAGCTTAGAGCCTGCCATCAAGGAAGCAGGATCGGTCTCCGCAGCTGAAGACATTTTAGCGCACTTAGAGGCAACGGACGAAAATTTCCACAGGTTTGAACCAAGTACTCTAAGCTGGTGTTTTCGTTCCATCTTACATCCAATCTTGCTTCGTAGGTTGATTTATTCGAATGGGTTTGTACTGACAAGGATGAAGTAAGCTTTGTGCAGTCTAAATTGATAACGTTTGATACATTTTGAGTTTAATGTCCTTCTTTCAAACACGTTTATTATATTATGATTTTGATCAATGCCGGAAAACACTGTCGTATCATGTCAATTTACAAAGAAAATTATGAAAATACCCATTCAAAATAAAACTAAATTTTGATTATTCTGTATGATAGGAAGTTAATCTTTCCGAATGTTTCAATACATGCAAAAGAATAAACGTATTTGCCAGATTTTGAATGTTGAGAAACAAATCGCCTTGTGCACGGTTGAGTGTAGGAATTTTGGTGTAAGAATTATTAGATTTGCTCATTCGCGGATTGACTGAACAATGGAAAGACTGACTTATTTCAAAACTATCAGACTGACTGAATTGAAAAATAACTATTTAAATTTTGCTGATTGATATCACTTTGATTGATTGATTGAAAAGTTAGCAGAATATTTGATTTCTTGATCTGTGGCTTGAGATGTAAGAACCATCACAAACTTATATGTTGTTGTTATCAGATATGATTTTGTGCGTCAACTCAGGAGTCGTATTGACACAACTCTTACACCACTTATTGACGAGAAATTGGAAAAACTGACTGACCGGGAGGGAGACAGGAGTAACTCAGTGCCAGCTATAACTGAGGAGATTATAGCCTCACCTGAGTAAGTTATGTTTAATAAGAAAACAAAAAAACAGGAAAAAAGAACAGCTGTCTAAACTTGCTCAATGAAGATGGGAAAGAATTAACCCTTACCTATCCAAGTAAAACCAGGTGTACAATTTTTCATTGCCACACTAGCTCAAAAACCAAATTAATCACAGTGACCAACCAGAGTGAAGTAGAATTTTATGGCAATGATTACTTAAAGTTAACTAACTAGACAGCTGGGATCATAGGTACTTATGGCATCTGTTGGATATGTTGACCAATGCATGTCAACCAAGTATGATCATGATAGCCAACATGTTGACCACTGTCTCAACCAGCATGCATATATATCAGGCGATAGTCAGTCAACACACAGCTGACCCTTAGCTAATACATTACCTACATTCTACTGACACTAACGTCATTTGGTTGGCTTTTGTTATTGAGTTCTATCTTCTCTGAAACTCAAAAGTTAACTTATTTTTGTAAGCCCTCTGAAATTCTTTTTTCGCATCCTAAGGGTAAAAGAAAGGTGTCAGGAAATAGCTACCATTCCAGTGTAATGTTGATCACAGTGTAATGGTCAAAGTGTTGGCCAAGTCAGGGCTTGACACTAGCTTTTCAACTTCCTAGCCAAGTGAATAGTGACAACTTAGATGTTACAACAATTTCAGTTAGTTTAGTAGCTAAACTGGCTGGTGGAAATCGAAAACCACTAGCCAAAACTGAGTTTCTACTAGTCTGTGGCTAGTGGGCTACCATTAGTGTGAAGCCCTGCTAATGTGCACACAATCAGAGGATGTGAAATTGCAAATGGTCAATTCCCAATATATTTTCCTGTTTACTTCGGAGAGAGTGGTGAGTTTATCAGACCAATGACACAGTGCAGCTCTGAAAATCCACTGCTATACCAAATAAAATGAGTATCAGTTGAGAATTGCCCCATAATACATTAAAAAGTCTTGTATTTATGGGGAAATGAAGTACTAATCATACAAAGAGTTTACTTAGATTTAATGACTGAATTGTATGGATCCCTTGAGATCAGGAGATGTTTTTTAACTGTTACATCATATCGTGTCAACTTTTGCACTACAGGTTTGTTAACCTCCAGCAGTCGATTTTAGCTGATACAAAGGATGCAGTAAATGCTTTGGTGAGAAAAAGTTCAGTTTTCTTTGATAGCTACTTGTTTATACAAATAATATCATGAACATTATCTAAAGTTAGAACACAATAATCCATTTTAGATCCAAAGTTTCTCTCAAAATCCCCACCTTCGTCCATCCGACTATGAACTCACAGAAAACAGAGGCAGACTCCAACCTTTTAGATTATCACTGGATTCTAGTGATGAAGATTCCTCCATGTCTTCCTCTTTTGGACAGGTATGTTTTTCAAAGACCTAACTCTTTAACTCAAAAGATCTGACTTTTAACGCTCCACTCTAGCCACTCCACATTTCTTTGTAAATCAGTTCAAGCAATTTGGTGTTAGATAAAGATCACAAATTAAACCTGATAAGTTTCAATAAGCTCATTAACTGTTTGCTGGATAATATGTAGATGTAATATAAGGAGAAGTTGCATCTTAGTCACCTTAGGAAGTTAAAGGGTTAGGTATGCTGAATGAATATTATAAAATATTCCAGTTGACTTTATCTTTGGGATTCTGTATACATTTTATGAGTGTGATATTTTTTGTATATCTCTTGGTTCACTATATACAGACTGGGTACATGTTTAACATGTCACCCGAGAAATTTACTGAAATTGCAGAGAATTTGGATCCCGATAAACCACTACATGTGAGTAGTCATTGTGTTTGTGCCTGATAAATTGAATACTTATCCGGAATTTAGAATACTTCATATCAAGGATAATTATTAAGAAAAATAATTTCACATTCGCAAGGAAACTTTTAAAGTCATGCTTTGGGATGACTCATAGCATTGATCATCAGTTTAATTTGTTGAACCATTGCCTTTGTGTTTGTAAACACATTACATGCAGTTATGTTGTAAGTTTAAAGCAAACCACAATATTTAACACTAGTACAATTATAATAGCTGAAGTAAACAGCAAAGTGTGCAGATGTAACACTTGGAAAGTCAATTCATGCAAAGAAAACAAATGCAATTATGTTGCAACTGAGCATTCAGCTCAGGCTGCAATGTGCTGTAGAATGCCTCTTTCAGTTTTAGGCAATAAGTTGTTTTGGCTGAGTCTAGAATCTTAAAGCACTCAGCTGAACATTTTTGCTTACAACTTGGAATAGTACACGTTAAAGTGCTTGTCAACATCATTAAAATAGATTTTTGTTTGATATCTGATATTTTCTAATCTACTGTATTTACAGGTACGGATAAATGCATTAAACACTCTGTACCAGTTTCCATTGTCAGATGAACTGACCAGTAAAAACTCAGAAGGAATCAGAAAAGGGCTATTGGCTGCCTTGGCTGATGAAGACGAACAGTTAGCGGTACCTGAATTCCTTATTGATTATACTATCTTGTGTTTTGAACCATCAATAACTTTGTTTTCTTTGATGTTTAGTTTAGTTTAGTTTAGTTTAATCCATTAGCCACAGGAGTGGCAGGAAAAAGGAACAGAACTTTCATTCCAATTGACACCTAACCCCTTTGTACCCACCATCCCACCCCGGGGAGGACATCCATCACACAGTAATCTCGTGCGTGGGAAATTAACATCTCCTACCCTCAACCCTGCAGGAGACGGGACCTCCATTTATTCGTCCCTATCCGAGAAGACTAGAATATCTAACCATTTCTAGATGTTATAGAAAGGTAGCAAATTCTTCTCAATTATTTTAAGACCTTGAGTGTTGGTCCGACCGGGACTCGAACCCTCGACCTCCCGCACAACAGTCCAGCGCACTATCCATTGGGCTAACTGGGCGGCGGTTAATGTAATTAATGACACTATTTTCTTGCAGGAAAAAAGCCTGAAGTTTCATGCAAGGATGTTTATGGCCTCGTCTGCTCATGTGACAAAAGAGATCTACACTTGCCTAGGTGAGAATTATAACTGAAAACAGGTTCGCAACTTGTTGGCACTCGTTTCAACATAAGAAGGCTATAGTTCCAAGATTTTCAACACAATTCATGAAACACTCAATATGTTTTCGAGGCGCTGTACTGTGGAACTTCGTTTCCAATTATTTAAAAAAATTCCGATTATTTAAAAAAATCTCATAATCTCAAACAAAATATCAGAAAAGTGAAACTGGACCCATCATTTAGGGAGCTTAATTTTAACAGCCTATCTGTTCACACGATACCTAAGAAGATGATGCGCGATTTTATATTAATATTTTTAGACCTCTGAATTTTATGTAGTGTATGAGTTCTAGTGTTTATTATTTAAAGTATTTCATATTTTTAAACTTTTTAAAGTATTTACACAACCCCACAAGCATGTATTTTGCTTTAACTACTGATCATGTTTAAATAAAGGATTTTACTTACTTTACTTATACTTACTTACTGCTTTGACCAAAGTTGCTTTTAATAAATCTCTACAAAAACCATCTATGGTCTCTTGAACAGTGACATACTTTGGAAGCAAAAATTTGTGTTTAACTTATGTCTTAGCTGAGCACCTGGAGTCTTAATTCAGAGATACTCATCATCACCGTCTAAATATTGAAAATGGTGTGGATGTGTCAACAAGAAACAACCAGAGATTGCTCAAAAGGGTTTGTTTTTCCTTAAGTTTCCTGGTTATGTTTTTAAAAATAGCTAATGATATATGAGACTTCATAGCAGTATGTTATACTTGTTGCATCATGAGAAATTAACATGTACAAGTTCCTCTTAGTTTATTGTACCTAGCTTGCAAACTCTGTTTTTTTCCGTTTGATTTCAGTTTAGGCTACTGAATGAATTTCAGCATGAAGTTGCCTCTTTTTGGATCAGGTATCCTGAATGGTATGTCGGTTACACATTTTTATGCAGTGTTAACTTAATGTAGCCAATAGATTACTCTGGATAGGTGCCTAAAGAGTGGTGCCCAGGAGATTTCTGTTTTCCCCATCCCCTCAATGGACACTGTCACACTGAACAGGGTTAAGTATATCTACTACCCCTACCCCCCTTTCAAGTGATCTGTACTGCATTGAAGGGGAGGAAGAGGAAGAGCCTTGCAAAGCTGGTGGGGAAGCCAGTGAGCAAAAAAAGCGACTGCACCTACCAGTCTTTCAAAAATCCATATGTCAACCCAGGCACATGTTGGGCCTCAATCACTTCTTCTAGCATTGGTGAAAGACTTAACTTCACCAAGATGTCTCTAATCTCCTGTGAATTTTGTTGCAGGTTTCTTGAGTCAGTCTTGGGTAGTACTTTTAATTTATTCTCTGCCAGTTCTGATCCAGAGTTTGGTGCTTCTATGCTGCAGTACATGACACCTTTGCATTTTCTAGCCCTAGTTGATCCTAAGGCTGCTTGGTTTAAAAAATGGATGGTGAGTTTAAATGCTGCTTGGAATCAAACTGACTGTAGTTTGAATCATAGGGATTTGTATACAAGATAGTCTTTTCATGGGCCTTTCACTCTCCTCTCAGATCATTACCTAAAGTGAGGTAGGAAATTGTGATAGGGTTTAATGGAGATGTAATATGATGAACATGTGGGGGGTGGGAAAGGGATACCACACCTTGGTGTACCCTTTTAATGCTTCCTTGCTTAACCGCAGAAAAAAGAAAAAACTGTAGACAGTCCACAACAGGCGATCAATCCTGTAGGTCACTACTAGTGTTCAATTGATCACTGATTACAACTTCTTATTCCATAGCATGGTAATTACAGCAGAACAGTTGCAATTAAAGAACTGAAAAAGCATCCATCTTTGGTGAGTGAGCAAACATTGTGAGATTGAGCTAACTGCCTCCCTGTTAGCTCAATGGATAGAGCGCTGGACTGTTGTGCGGGAGATCGAGGGTTCGAGCCCCGGCCGGACCAACACTCAGGGTCTTAAAATAATTGAGAAGAATTTGGTTCTAGAACGTCAAGAAATGGTTAGATATTCCAGTCTTCTCAGATAGGGATGAATAAATGGAGGTCCCGTCTCCTGCAGGGTTGGGGGTAGGAGACGTTAATTTCCCACACACGAGACTACTGTGTGATGGATGTCCTCCCCTGGGGTGGGATGGGTGGGATATTGGGTGCACTTAATTTGGAGCCTCACTCTGTTGTGTGACCCTCACCACACTCTGGTGAAAGTGTTTAAGTAAAAAATAAATAAATAAAAATAAATAAATTATTTGAGGCATTATTGGTTCCCTAATTCTTATGGTATAAAGGTTTTTGCTTTTCTTTTCTTTTCATTATATTACAATTGTATTTTTTTCATATGTAGTGTAACACTAACTTTATTAACTAGTAAACAATTTTTGTTACCTTTTTGCAGTTGGTAGATGCCATAAGCCATTGTATTGATTTCTCCAGAACATGTAAAACTCTTCAATCCTTGGAAATGATGGAACTTAACGAGCAGCAAAGAGGTGAATGGGTTGTTTCATGAATGCTGCAAGTTAACAAAAGAATATGCTATGTAACAGGTTCACATCAGAATAATAAACAGCACAGGCTGTCAAATTTAGGTAAAGAATTCAGACGATTCTGTTATTCATCAGAGCTGTGCAGTCAGATCAGTCAATTCCAAATGGTGTCCACTTGTACAAAAGGGTGGTCAAACTCTCAAAAAAGAGTCTCATTCAATTTTGAAACTGACCTTTATCAGGGCTCGACACTAACTTTCCAACTTACAGCCAAGTGGCTTAGATGTTACAACAATTTCAGTTTGTTTAGTAGCCAAACTGGCTTGGGGAAATAAAAAACCATTCTTTCCCCCTCATTTCATAGAAACAAATGAGATGTAGTGGATAGGAGCTAGATGGCACAATTACTACTGTGATAATCATGGGTACCCTGTTAATTTTTACACAGATGATGAGGACAATAATGGGTTGTTTTATACTTCACAAGACCTGGAGTATATATACTTTGTTCACTCACTGTGTCTTTTGGGGAGAGTTCTTCTCTACAGTGGAGGCAGAGCATTATTTCCTGTCATACTGCCAGATACAGATGGTAGAAAATTATACTTTCTGTCTTATTCTTAGAAAATTTGCTTAACTGTAGAACTTTTTTCTTTAAGTATTTTTTCTATATTTCTCCTCAAAATTTTGCTGGTTTAAGATGGACTAAAATATGGCATTTTCACCTAAGAAGTTTGTTTGTTCAAAAAATGTTTTTGCCAAAATATTTCCCTTAATTTGAGGGAGCAAAGCAATGGCTTATCCCATTTGTTAAAAAAAACAGGCTTGTTTCCTTCATCAAAAAATATAGCTTGCTGTATAGTTGTAGTTAATCTGATTAATTTCTTAATTTTTGCTAAATTTCTTGTTCATCTCTATTCTCAATCTTTATCTGAGTAAAACTGAACTTCTTTTGCAAATGTTATTCTTCTCTTTATTTCAGAAACAGTGACAATCTCTAGCTTACTTGTGGCATTGATTAGAATCATGTGTACAGCTCTACCAAGCTCTAGTGAAAAGACTGTTTTGGATGGTAAGACCAATGTACTTTATTTCAGCAAATTGTTATTTTTGTCTAGCTCTTATTTTATGTGTCCACGCTTGATTTTTCTCTTCTTTAAATTCCAACTACAGTTGAGTTTCATCCTGGTTACCTGGTTTGTGATGTGCTGAAGAAGCTTGCTTGTTGTACAAATGCCAGTAAAGAGTGTCTCTGTAAGGTCAGTATATTTTGAACGTCTTTTACAGCACAGACACTTATAAGTGTTTCTAGATTAATTTGTGGGTGACAGTGTCAAATCAGCTATTTTGCGGATTTCTTGCCATGATCTTTGGTGAAGTATCTTTTCTAAGGGTAGTGGTTTTGGGAAAAGGCAGTAACTTAGTTCATTGAAATAAAAGAAAAATAATGCGTCCTCCCCCCTCGAACCGAGTGTATCATACTCTGTCGATTAACTTTTTTCGTCTTTGTTTTACAGGATGCAATAACAACTAGTCTTCTGTCGCCTGTACAGGCGTGGCTTGATGTAAGTGGAACAAAAAATTAGTTGAATGCAATACTTCACATAAAACAGATTTCTTAATTTCTCAAAAGACAAATGCGCTTATGTTGTGTTGTATATCAGGGTGTAGACAGCTGTGACAGTACTGGTGCTGAGAACACTCTGCTGTTTGTGGCCGATGTTTTAGCCACTTTAGCTGCCTCAGAAACTGGTCAAAGACAACTGCTATATGGAGAAGCGCAAGACAGATGGCAGAGAAGCAGGTAATATTTATTCCACTCTTCACGGCGAATTGTTACAGGAGATACATGTATGACTGGTAAAACAGTGGATTCATTCCGACGATGTAGTCACTTTCGATGAAGAGGGCAAAAGTAAATTTTCCCCTTCAAGTAAATTTTCTTATTAAGAGTTTACTTTCTGCTCACCATGTGTCCAGGTTTTCCCCAGCTCACACCATAGCGAAGTTTGCCAAAAAAGCCTTGCTGGACAGACTTCCTGGTGGGACACCACCCAAGGCGGCGATTTCTGGCTTTGTGTTTGTCTGTCGTCAACTGTACAGCACATGTGATGGACTTATGGTGCTAAATCCGTATGAACTTCATCAGTGTGTGGCTAATGCCTGGATTAAGGTGAATGTGTCTCGGCAGAAAGTCGGTTGGCTCCTCGATCCGTCGGTGTAAAGTGTTTTTACTGACAGTCAACTGTTTCCTGAGCACTAAGAGGCTAGATTTATGTCGATACCGTGTGTTTTGAAAGAAAGTGTTTCGTTTAAATTTCTGTGAGAGTAAGATGAATTGTTTTCTTAGTACATATCAATTCTAGTTGTGTGTGATTTTGTGGATCAACGTGCACTTTGAGACACGTCGCTGAAGTGTGGAAACGCCACATCTTTGTCTTGAGTGTTCTTTAAGAAGGACTTTCATCCTCAAAGTACCTCTCGCTAGGAGTGAAATTATTACCAGCGAACTGTCGGGAAGGACGTGACACTGTATCACTTTTTAATATTTTACCTGCATTGATATTTCGATAGGCTTTTGCTAAAACGCTTCGTTCATATTTCTTCAGGTACACGAACCAGAATCTCCTACAGAGGCAGAACTAGCGTCTGATGAAACACAACAAGAATTCATTCAAGACGAGGAAATGTAAGAACTCACACGAGTTTTGTATTATGGTCAAACCTGTATTAAGCGGTCATCCGCTTAAGAGCGATTCCACAGAAGAGGGGTGTTAAAAAAAATTCATTTTATTCCATAACAGACATCTTAAAACTCGCTCAAAATACTTCCAACATTGATTTTGAAAAGTAAACATGCATTGAATTTACTTGAAAGATTATTCTTAGTTTTATTTGAGTGCTTACGCTTTAAGTGACCGTTGAATACAGGCCAGTAAGACAAACAGGCCGTTGGAACTTAGTAGAGGGTGACTGCGACCGCTTTATAGAGGTGACCACCCAGTAGGGTTGACCGCTTGATAAAAGTGACCGCTCAAAGAGGTGACCTCGTAATGGAAGTGTAAATCACAGAAACCAAGGAGGAAAATTTTTTTGGTGTTTTCCATCAAAGGCATCATAGTTAACCTGACAGTTTCATTTCAGACTTGTGTGGGAAAGTTCATTGATCGACAACCTGTTAAATTTTGCCGGTACACCAAAAGGACTGCTACTTCTTCAACAAACTGGAAAAATTAATGAATGCGTGGCGTACATGAATGAGCGATACAACAAGAAACTGCAGGTACAACTACATACAACGTACTCTCCAACTGTGACTGTCAAATTCATTACAAAGTCAACAAACTGAAATACGTACATGTTCTCAATCTTGATTCTGCCATGCTACTGAGGCAAGCGATAACAATGTGGCACACTTTACAAGCTCTTGATGAGCTTGATCCTATGAAAATTGTCCAGTTTGAAGTGGAGACATTTGCCTGAAATAATTTACGTACGCTTCTGTTTGTAAGTTACATATATATTACACGTGCAGATTACATACAATATGGTAAATTTACGTACATTTTACACGCGTGTAATTTAGCAATTTATTCGCCCTTTTCTGTGTTTCATGGCTACTAGTTTTTATTTTTTTTTTTTTACTTGATAATAAAGTTAAGGTAACATTGAAACTTCGTCGACTTTTAAATAAGCTATTTTAGCTTTTTAAGATGTTTTTTAAGCAGTTTTTGTAGATAACTACTGTTACAAGACCCGTATATTGTTTTGTTAAAGTTAAGAAAACTATAGCATCTATTTGTGCGGTGTCTTACAAAACCCTCCTATGAATTGTTCAGGTTAGTAAGTGTGAGAAGTTTGGTTATGGACTGATGGTGACACAGATAGCTGCCACCGCGCCTGGCATGGTTGCACTGGAAAAGAAGGGTAAGAAGAAACAAAACATCTGCAGCTACGTTGATTTAGCAGCTTCACGTTTTTCATCATTGTCAGAAAGTGGCAGAAAATATAGCAGTTTTTTCCCCCATTTTAATTGGCCCTTCTTACTTCGTTTTAAGGCTTAACTTCTTTAAATTATGACAATGCGAAAGAGGAAAATATGGCTAAATCTCTATTTTTTTGTAGCTATTCCGAAACCCCTGACGAAGTTGAATAAGCTCAGGGCTTATTAGTAGAGGTTTACGTTACAGTCACTGTAAAGGTTTTTCAACAGGAGGTTCCTGCACTGAAATTTAAGGAGGAGGAGCTTATCAATATAGTTTATTCTGATGAATCTTTTGTATATCAGTGGAGAGGGTCACACACACCCGATGACCTTCCCACTCCTCCCTCCCTACACCACTTTGCCAACTGTTCTTTTTATTTATTTACTCATTTATTATTATTATTATTATTATTATTATTATTATTTATTATACTTTTGAAATAATATCAACTTGTCTGTATTCTTTCAAGTTTTTAAGTTTTCGTCTTCCTGAGGACACTTACGTTTTCCCTTTCTTAGTTGTATGTTTTCGTCCTAGTTAGCTTTGGAAAATTTTGAGAGCCTCTCGTCGACAACGCTCTCAAAAAGGAATACTCTATCATTTACGTTATTCTTTTCTTCGTATGCTAATAATTGTACTAAACTTGTTGTTTTTACTGTTGATCTCATCAGGTTTCCTCAAACGAATGGTGCTTGACATTTGGACAGTATTTGAAGGAGCTCAAGACAGAAAACCTGCTCCACCAAGGATTAAACATGTGGATAGCATTGATAGCAGAACGTATAACAAGGTTTGACTATCAGAACATGATCCCCTCAATATGCCTTAGATCCGGCCTTGTTTTGTTGGTTTAAAAGGTTTGGTGTTATTTGCTTGCTTGTTGCAGTCTATGAACAATCTGTCGAGCGTGTTATCAGCGTTTCCTGCTGTATACGAGGTACTCGCCGATGCCTACCGTCCATCCACTTCTGGTTCAGAGATTGAGGAAGCCGTGACAAACAGAGAAGCTTTTTCTGCTCCTGTCAGTATTATGGTGGGTAGAACACTTTACAGTTTGCACGCAGAGTGATGGGTGATTATCGGGTTGGATCTATCATCAGTGGGCTGGTAAAGTTCAAATTACAAGCCCTCAACTGAAAAACAAAAACAGTAACGTGAAATGTCAGCGAAATTAAACTAAATCCTCTCTAGTTATTAGTAGCAAATAGCGATTTACAAGTTTCTCGAAATAAGCTTTCTTCTTTGGATGGAAACAACTCATGTTTCCCTCGTGTTTATCCATTCAATTCCAAGGGCGAAGCTCTTCCTGAGAAATCGGCAAAGTTTTCTCATATTGACTCTTACTTAAAGCCAGATGATGTGAGGAATTTTGTCGTTGAATTTCAGTCGTATTTTAAGTGAAAAAATTTTAGACTCCAGGAAATGTTGTTGGTGACTGAGCTTTGAATCTTGTCCCTTTAACAGGACTTGGTTGACCGTTTCATCATGATTGACTCGGAGGAGAAGTTCCATTCACTTTTCAACTTTGAACAGACTCATCACTTCGGTCTAAGGTACGGATCATCGGGAGAATAGCTGGCTTAGAGTCAGCAAACACAAGATGGGTTAACATAAACCTGTAAAGAACAGGGAAGGTCGCAATGGCGAAACAAGGTGATTATTTTCTAAAAAAAACCGTAGTCCTGCATTATTGGGGTATTATAAGATAATTTGGTTTTATGAACCAAGTCGATAAGGAATTAAATTGCCACCGTAACAATTTTGAGAGCCGACGTTTCGAGAGTCAGGCCTTCTTCAGAACGAAAAAAAGAAACTCTTTACGTTGGCCAATTTACAATATCAACTCAGTAGATAAACCAAAGACTCTTTAAACAGTTTGTGAGGTACCAACTTGAAAGTTTCACTCTGGCAAATTTCTCAAGATGTAGGATTCGTGAAGTACAGTACCGGCTTTGTTGTTTGTTTTTTTTTGTTTGTTTGTTTGTTTTTTTCACATCCTAACTCTACATGTGGTCTCTTTTCTCACAGAGTTCTCAGCGTGCTGTGTTCCTGCTTAGACACATTCCTCTTCCTTGAATGCCGCTACAGATTTCAAGAATTACTGCTTCAATCTCAGCTGGACAATAGATTTGACAACGGGTAAGGCATCAAAGGAAAAAGTTTTTTTTTTTTTTTTTGAGGCCCCTGAAGTAATTTCTTGATATTCTTTGCGTCCAATTTGTCTCTTCACCAACTTAACGAAAGCCAATAGCAATCATTCCCATAAATGTCGATACTACCAGATCAGAGCCCCGCATAACTCAACTTCGTGACGATATCAAGCGTTAAAAGAATTCTAGCAACCTAGTTAGAATTGGTTATTAGTTTGTTGTTATTAGCTTGCTATTATTTACATAAGGAAGCAAATTTATTTTTCTCGTCATTTAAAAAGTTGCACGCGATTTATCAACCCGAATCTGACAAAATCAGACTTACATATTTACTTTTAGAAGTCACTTATCGAACTTTGTTTTTGAAACTCACACAGGTGTTCTTGCGGTTAATATTACATGTTAGAGTTTTAAGTCTGTCGCGGGTTAAGAAGCCGTATGAGTATAAAAATAGAGCTTGTTTCCTGGAAATTTCAGCAAAGACTACATAATCGACATGTGTTCTTTGGAGAGGAACCATATCTTGGTCAAGACCTATCATGTTGGGGGCACATCTGAAAGGATCATTCCAGGCAGGACCTTAACTGAGGTAACCTAAAATGCTCTCTACGGACTGAAGGCCATAGCACTTTTTACTTCGCGTGTACAGCACTTTGTTTGGTCTGGTACACATGTAAGGATCTTCTATACCCCTCTGAAATAAAATCATCTCAGAACATTTGACAGATTGATATTGTTCTTTCCTTAGGATGTGGATAATCCCTACCCTTGGCCTCTGTTCTCATCTTATCCTCCACCAAAAGACTATCTTCCTGGTGAACAGCATCCTAAGATTACAGCATTTGAAGAGGGTAAGCGTAGTACTACGTTACATAGCGTCACATATCGTTACTACTGCAAGGAACTTCCTACCACTCAATTGTGTCGTAAATCTACTCTCCTAAGTAAAAGTAACTTAACTGATTAGGAGTATTGTAGGGTAACCTTACTATCTTGATTGTTGAATAAATGCATTTGAAGAAGAGGAATGAGAGTGATCACTTGATCCATGAATACTCTACAGTAAGGGATATCGGCCAGTCGTGTTCCACATCCTTATGAACTGAAGTCGAGTTGGGTCACGTAAGGAACGCGTTCTCTACGAGACCCAATCCTCGCTCGTTTTCTCCCTTCTCTGTTACAAAGGCGCCGTTCACTATCAAACTTTGTTTTGCTCACTGAAATCCAAGAACAGGTTCGCTGTAGGACTGAATTTAAATGACTGAATTAAAACGTAAGTCTGTCAGCAAACATTGTTCTGAAAAATCATCTTATTTGTTAAAGCAAGTTCTACACATAGCATTGTCCGTGGTCAATTCGAGGTCCTCTGTGGCCTGAGAGATTTCCCAGTTATTAATTTTTTTTTTTTTCATTTTGTATGAAACTATGAGAGGAACAGAATGAGAATATTGGGCCAAGTTTAATTGAGTGTGTTGCCATCAAGAATTTTATTACAACCCTTTTTTATTTCTTTCGGGATTGTTTTCAATACCTTTTGTCAATTATAGGCGATACGCTGTTAGAATTTCTTGAAAGCAGTGAGTTAATGTCAGCAGACAGGTATGTGAACCGCTTTCGTAAAAATCTTGTTGCTCTGTAGTTGGCTGGAGTTAAGTCGAATGATTGTGCTTACAGGGGGTGTGTGGGGAGGGGGGCGATAGATGACAGGGTCTTTGAGATCGATTATTGATGCCCAGCGTGTTACATTCAAAGAACTAATTGATTAAAGCAATTTAAGCAGCTAAACATTTTTGAAGTTTTTAGCAGTTAAACTGGCTAACATCTGATCTCTCTCTTACCCAAACCGAGCGCAGAGATGGATCTCTACCGAAAGCCACCAAAAAAATGAGACTTTCCTCTTCCCTTTCCTAACAGACAAATTTGAAAAATCGCTGGTAGTTGTTGTTTATGTCTTGAATTCTTTTCCCTCTTGAAGTTCATCTTGGCTCCAGGATTGTCGTAAGACGTTTTGTCAGTCCATAACATCTGGGAAATCTAAAGCGAAGGGAAAAGGTTGGATCCAGTTATTCCAATTCTTGTGTGTGTTGTTTGAAACCTCATGTTATATTGATTTTTTTTTTTCTCGTTTTTCAATAGCAATTTTTTTATTGCATACAACACCTAGTCCTAACTAAAGTGAGTTATTAAATGTACTTTATCAGGGATGATTTATATACCTCTTACAGATAACCAGATAATGAGCCGTTAGAAGACATTGTTTACAACGGATATTTTTGTTGTTCAACAGTGTTGAAATTGCTACTTGACAAGGTTTGCACAGCCTTGACCAACGTACCCGAGGAAGCCATCTTCCCTCTGATTGACTTTTCAGGTAATAGCATTTAAACAGCAGCTGTATTTTGATTGGTTTTCATCTCCATTTCTCGTCTTTACGGATCTTATTTTATTTTCCTGTTATTTTCATGTTAGCCAGTGAAAGCAGTCTGAAGATTGTTGAACTAACAGACATAGAGAGCCTTGGAACGAAAGTAGCGGTGCGGTACGGTGTGCAGCTGAAGTTGCTCCAGTCCACCACGGACGGTGTGGAAGATTTGACTTATCTTCTGAAATACTGCAAATTCTTTTTACAAGGACAGCAGCGTGCAACAGAGAGCACGTTACGTATCTTTCACTTAGCCGTTCTTCGCTTGCAATCCATGTAAATTTTTGTGTAAATAATCGATATTTTGCCACCATGTCCACTTACTAAATAGTTGCTCAATAATGCGGAATGTAAGGTCGATGAATGAACATAGGAGTTCAAACGAAACTTCAAATGATGTTCGCATGTGAATGTCCGTTAAGAAAGTTTCATTAATTCAACAGTTTTTTTCTGTATTTTATTACGGTCGAATGATTGTTTTGAAGCCGAAGTGAGCTAATTTAACTCATAGTGAATTGACTCAAACGACATTATTTTGTGTCTATTCCTTTACTCGCTTGCCTTCCCGATACAAGGCACTCTGAGCGGTGAGTACGTCGGTCACGACTGGTTTGTGTCCACAATTTTTCTGATGATGTATGGTGATCCTGACCTGGCCTGGGAGTTCCTCTTCAAATTCTCTAGTCTCGTTAGTTCTGGTTATCTTTGGATTCGCAGACTGCATGCCTCGGTAAGATGTTACTGTCGGGTCTTTATTCTTTAGCCCTGCACCGTCTGCTTTAGATCAGATTTTTCTGTTCTATATGATTATACATTGAAAGCCCAAATACGGAACAGTTTAGTATAGGTGCCTAGTTCGAGGTTACCCGGCTGGTTCGGTGGTATCCTTTTATAGTTTGGTTAGAGAAAGGTACTGTTAGTTAGGGTAATTTCAAGTTCTTGTCACCCGGAACATAGTACGTATAGTTTCTCTATACAGGGCACTAACCTGGATCTTTTGATTCGGATTCCTTCGCTCCACCCACCGTCCGTCCACATTCTGCGTTTTTGTGCGAGGTCTAGGTATGCGATCAGAGTCAGAAGATGGTAACCGTAGCGGTGCGACTTGTAAAGCACAAGTTTTGTCTAGTTGATCTTTAAAGTGCACCTAAACCCAAAATTTTTTTCCCGCTTAACGAAATAAGCGCATTTTTTGGAGTATTTCTGTGCAAATTTTTTTTTATTTGCCAAATCTCCAATTTTCTGTGCCTAGTCAAAATACGGAAAATCTGCCGCCATCTTGCCCCACGACCGAGTTTTAAGAGGAATGGCTCTAGCGGGTAATGTGACGTCAAATCGAGAACACGAAAGTTTGCATTTCACACATTTTCACTTGTTTGGGAAGGTTGTAGTCGATACTGTCCGAAAATATGCCGACTAAGTGTGTTGCAGAAGGATGTAGCAACGTGCGAAACTTGCAAGAGGGTATCGCGCTTCATACATTCCTCATACAACACACCTAGTCGGCATATTTCGGACAATATCGACGACAACCTTCCCAAACAAGTGAAAATGTGTGAAATGCAGACTTTCGTGTTCTCGATTTGACCTCACATTACCCGCTAGAGCCATTCCTCTTTAAACTCGGTCGCGGGGCAAGATGGCGGCCGATTTTCCGTATTTTGACTGGGCACAGAAAATTAAAGATTTGAGCAAATTAAAAATTTTTGCACAGACATACTCCAAAAAATAATCTTATTTCGTTAAGCGAGAAAAAATTTTTGGGCTCAGGTGCACTTTAAGTTCTTGATCTCAATTTGGCTAAGTCTTGTAATTGCTATATTATTCCACCATAGGTGCACTTACCGGTGTCACTTACAGTCAGTGGTATTCCCCCACTCTATTCATGCACGTGTCATAACGTGGAGCTTATCCTAATGGTATGTGCCTTTGTTTCTTTATTCTAACTGGCCTTGGTACCAAGCTCTATCAGATTACTTGCGCGAAAAAGTGCATATGCTAAATAACTGCGACGTAGAGCATCAAAATGATCACGAGAACCCTATGGGATCTCAAAGTGAGTAAAAACAAGCAAACTGCCCACAGCGCGGGAAAAACGTAAGTGACAGAGTGGCAGTTGGTTTTGGTTTATCATTTGATTGAGTGAGAGGATTCCGTATGAAGAAAAGGTAAAACTAAAGCAACCTTGGATTACGCTCCACACTCAAATGAGAGTTGCTTTAGTGGTTAGAGTTGCTTTCTTCGCCTCAGAGCTCAACCTTGTCATTTTCATGACAACAAAGAGAATACGCCCAAAAGTACACGTTGGCCAATTTCTCTTTGTTTGCTCCACTTTAGGCCGAGGTACCTTTGGTGTATTCTGCTTTTAGAATGTCTGGTTACACACCGTCGCAGGTAGGTTACAAAGTCTACGCAAAACTTATTGCAATCTTAGTGTGAAGTCACTTTCGTCCTTCTCCAACTTTTTTATTAAACGGTTATTTGAGCGGAAACGCTCAAATAATACTTAGAAAAAATTTTCAAATAACTTTTGATCCATGTTTCTCTCCCCAAATCAATGTCAGTTGTCTTTCTGAACGAGGTTTTGCACATTAAGCGATCAATTATGGCACAAAATGGCGTCTCTTTTTATCGTTCTTAATGATACCACTTAAGTTAATACAGGTTCGACTGTGTTTTATAACCTCGAGCTTATTACATTTCCCCGCCTGGCTCTTTCACGCGGTCATAGGTACAAGTTATTAACTCGTGAGTTTTTTATTTATTGTTATTCTTTTTTGTTACAAGATTTGCCAACATTGGTTGCGGCAATGTTTCTGGAATTACCTTGACTGGGAGGAGATCTGTTTATATATTTGTAGCTGTCTTACTATGGGCATTGACTATCAGGTAAAACAGAAGCGTTTACGCCAACTCTCAAGACGTGATCACTTATTCTCTCTTCCAGCTGTTCTACATTCCCTTGGGATATCAATAGTAGTGAGAATCGATTGTTTTATCAATGGAACATCCTCTAGCAGGCAGACCTGATAAGTTTTGTGTAATCTAAGTATACGTATACGTTATCGAAAATTATGAGGAGAAATTGCAACATAATCAGTTTCTCACCACCTGATACATTTGAGCAAATAATGAGTAAACTACACGAGAAGCAAAAAGTAGAAGGCATGCGCACTACCGTTATAAAATACTAGGCTTGTTTTTCTTTTTATGTTTTTTTTTTTCTCTTATTCCAATTCTATTTGTTACCATTTTCCTGATATTGTAAATTGTCCCGTGTTCTGCTTACGAAAAAAAATGGACGAATGTTAGCTCGGTGCAAAGATGAAAACCAAGTTACTGCGATACTTAGACAGACCGTCCATTGTTTTCTTTATTCTCTTTGGAAACTCAGTCCCTCGCCTTTGATTAACACTGCTTTTTACCTGCTCTAGGTGTATTATTGCATCGCGATCCTACGCCATTTGCAACATGACATATTACGAAAGACGCAGCAGCAGCAACTTTTGATTTTCCTGAAGGTGAGTTTAAGCCGTGTTCAATCGGTTCTTTTCGACACTTGTAGCTTATTTCCGTCAGATTTAAACGTTGGATCGTTATTTATCTGAAGACTAGCGCTATTGTCCCTTTAAAAACCGATGCCTTTATATTTTTGCAATAAATATATAATAGTAGAACTGTTAAACAGTCCATCGTTGGGATATAATTGTGTACTACGAAGTTAGGATTTAATAGAAGGTTGTTTAAAACGCAGAGATAAATCTTTGCGGTACTCGACATTCCAGCTTGTTCGTAATTACGATGGCTTCCTACGAAGCTAGAATGCAACAGCAAGTTGTAAAGCACTAAAAGAAATATATACACTATCATAGGTTTATGAATGTTTTGCAAAACACAAAATTCTGAGTAAGGCACACCTCCCAAAGCCAGACATTGGGCCCTTGCAGTTATAAGCTCTTCTTGATAAAACAATGTTGCTACCATTGAACCTTAAGCTAGAAAGTAATGTTTGAACATAGCTGGAACAGTTTTTTTTTTTTTTTTGTCTTTTTTTAGGAAACTCCTATAAGTAATTTCAAAGTTGCTGAGCAACTGACTTTCATGCAGGAATTGGAGGCAAGATATCGTCCAACCATCCTGCCCGACCTTCAGAACATCACTAAACCCTGACGCAGCTTGCAATATGCAGCTTGCAATATGCAACTTGCAATATGCAGCTCTATGAAATTTGAAAACGGGATCTTTGAATGCTTATTAGCAGTAGGACCGTTTCCTGATTTTATGAAATTTCCTGCAAATCGTTGAGCCTAAAATGATTGATTGAGTGTGAGGAAACATGCGCAGCGCGTGTGAGAAATCGTTTGCATGAAGTCGAGTTTCGAAACGTCTCGGCTATGCCGGGAAGCTTTTCTTCGGGATACACTCTGCCCCACAAGGGTTTCCTGGTCCGGTTTTAAGTATTTCAAATCTGAACTATTTGCACTTTCTCCGTATTTATTCACTCGTACTGAATGACTTTAGTTTACATTTGTACCGAGACGGAATTCTTTGTGGTAGAAAAAGTAACATAGCCACAATTGTTGATTAGAAATATTGAGGTAAGGTGTTTGAAGAGATGTTAAATCTGTCAAATTAAAAAGGGATTCTAAGTACAAGTACACAACCTGCCTGAGACTGCTAAAGCCAGGTGGAGGTGTTTGTGGTGCATTTCTGTTTTTGCTGTTGTAAACATCATTTTTGTACATACATTTGTACAGTAGATCTAATTAAGGTAATTTATTATTTGAATATTTGTATTTAAATTTATATAGTCTCGTCTATACAGATATTCTGCTGGCTATTTTAGCAGAGAAACATTTGAAAAGTTCAATGAAAATCTTTTTTTTTTCTTCTAAAAACAGTATAAAGCATTATTGTTATTGGTACAAATATAATGCTGGATGTAAGAAAAGTAAAGAATTTTGAAGACTCAAATCTGATCAGGTATTGTGTGGTATGGTCATGGTTGTCCATTCGAAAATAATAGTTTCTCAGGTAAAATACTTGAATCGTTAGAAGTCGATATCAATCACCAGACATTGATTGGCTACAACTTTGATTCCTATTTATTATGTTAAACCACAATAATGACGTTACTGTTTATCCATCAGGGAAGCGATCATTTAAGTACCATCAAGAGCCGCATTTAGTCAGTGGTTTTTGCTTGGGCAAACGATAAGTTGTGTTTATCGAAAGGGCGTTTGCCCACCCTATCTCGAAGTTAGTTTGGTTAAACTCTTACAAGCGGAACTGTTTTGTAGGTGCCTATGTCCCTTTTCAATGTGCTTGTCTAAATATCTGACCTCTAGATAGTCTCCCCCAGTTTTACACTACATTTTTTATCGCACTTTTCGCAACGTGACATGTGGCTTTCGTTGTCCAAGGCGTTAGAGCGCTGCACGACTAACCCACCTGGCTATTAGTTTGCGTTAGAATTCGTTTTTTAACCGGTCCTCGTTAATCCTTTCGAGGACAGTTTTTTGTCGAGTCTTTGTTTTTAGGTTTTAGCATAACTTGTATCTTTGTATTGGAAAGTTCGGAAAGTTAGTTCGTATGTTAGAGATAAGCTCAGCTTCTTCCCTTTTACTTTTCATATTTTAGTTTATGATAAGTACTTTTATACCTCGATTACGTTAAATAAAACGATTCAAGGCTTTTCTATAAAATATCCTCGCTTCATAGAGCATACATACATACATACATACATACATACATACATACATACATACATAACTTTATATGATAACGCAGGTTAAAATTTGCGCAACTTTACAGCTGATGTGGACCTGCCTAAACTAAATAATCTATAATTATATAAAATACAGATATCATAAAATTTATAAGTTGAATTTATATATTTTTTCGCAAGTGAAGAGCGTCTTCACTCGCGAAACTTAGTTGTCATCGAAATTTTTTTCGCTTGTGTCGGCCGCTGCAGCATGAAGAGACGACGACTGCTGCTATCCTCCCGCCGTACCCTTCCAGATAGATATCTGCTCACGGTGGGTTACCTCCTCAACCAAATTGAAAGGAGAGGCTTTTTTCTATCTCAAGTATTTCACGAATTAGTGTTTCCACTTGCATTCTGTTTGGCTTTAGTTCCACTAGATAATACTATTGATCCAAGTTTCTTGAATACCGAAAAGATAGAAAGAGCTTACCTTTTGTTCGCCATCCTACTTTTTAAAACGCCCATAATTTGTTTTTACAAGCTCTGATTTCGCCACCGTATCGACGTGGGGACGTGGGTGTTTTTTGCTCATTTCAAGTTGTTAGAAACATAAGAGAAAAAAAGACCACGAAAAAATCGAAGGTAATCTTAGTGCTCCTGTTGTGATGTTCCGAAAAGGGACTTGGCGTGGGAAATTGACGCAAATGTCTGCCATAAGCGATTGGGCTCTAAACAAACTTTTGTTTATATTCCCGATTAAAATAGCCTGAAAACAATTGGAGTTGGAATCTGGTCAGGAATTGTTCTAAATCCCTTTGTGACAATCCTTTGAGTATATTAACTTGATCACCGAGTCATTTAGGAGTGATGCGTCTGAGACAAGGTCAAGGGCCAAGACATTCTTAAGTAACTTTTCGAAGAATTTCAGTCAAGGAATTTCTATCTGTTCAAACCTATGACGACTGAGGAGATTGAAATGTTATGGATCAGCCACAATCTAGCTACTAACTTTCTTCATTTCATATATTGAGTCGTTTGGTGCAATAAAATCGGGGGGGGGGGGAGAACAAAAAAAAATGGCAAACAGACTAATCAGTGTTTATTACTTCGTCAGTGCGAAACCAAATCAATTAAAAGATTCGCCTCCTTGGAAATTGAAAGTTACCAAGTTAAAGGGAAATAACCAATCAAACGATGGTTTCGTACATTCTCAAAGTCAAAAAGAAACAAGGCATGTGGTAGAACAATTGTGCGGAAGCAAACAAAAACTGTATACTAAATTTAACCCGCCTATCAGATCGTATCAAGGCGTCCGTGCGTGATCAGTCGCACGTTTAGTCATTTTGCGCATTTAGCGTAAATGTTTATTGTTATCGGCGGTGTGGGGACCAAAACAAAGTCATTTTGCCGTTAAAACGATGGATATACACGTGTGAACCTTAGTAGAACGTGACTGCAGCGAGAGTTTGTGTAATCATGAACGATCGGGTGCCTTTGAGAAGGGTCAACTCAGTTTTCCCTCCGTTCTCCGAAGTCAACGAACTCGACGAGCTCGACGAGCTCGACGGCGATGGCGGTGAGAATAGTTGCCAGTCTATACTCCGCAAGCATAAATCACTTCCTCCACCGCGAAAAAAAAGTGTGCAGTTTGCGGATGGCTGCGGGAAACCTCTCGTTTCTGTTTACAGCGACGATGAGTACAACATACACGTCGCTTTGCAAATGACCAAACGTGAACTTCAGCGAGCGAAGAAAATTTTGCATGTTTGTTTTTCACAACCGGTTGCATCAGAACAGTTCAGAGACAAGTTAGAGTTGCAGACGGTTTGTCTTGAAAACGCTGTGGCTTCACAAAACTCAATCTGGGGAACGATAAAGGTGAAAAACATCTGTTATCACAAACGTGTAACAATTAGGTACACTTTAGATAGTTGGAGTTCTTCTGCAGACTTGGAGGCGGTCTATGTACCTGAATCTAACGATGGGGCAACAGACAGATTTTCATTTGCTATAACGCTTCCTGAATATTTCCTCGCTTCTGGAGGAGCTTTAGAGTTTGCTGTTCGCTTTGAAGGCGAAGGAATAGAGTTCTGGGACAATAACAGTGGCCAAAACTACCGCATTGAGTGCATGGAGGACACGGGATCTAACGGGGCAAAGTTCAATAGAATGGCGAACCTATTTAGAAATGGTTTTCGGCGGTAAACAAAGTAACCAGAACAAGATATTACATCGATATTTCCGCAACCAACCAAGTGAAAATAACAAAAGAGTTAGCACTAGTGAACGCTTATTTCTGACTGAATTTCTTTGTTTACTTCAATTTACACCACGTTAAGACTTTTTCTGAAGGCCTCTTTTCAACTATCGTTCAATACCTTGAAGGCAACATAGAAAACACTAAGATGACGGTCACGTTTGCGATATTTAAAGTCCAGTTCAAATAACGAAAGACTGAAGATCATCGTGTTTCAATGTATTGAAACTGAGCCTGGACATTAAATACTCTTGAGAATTCTCACGCCTTCCAGCGCGGCGATGTTTCCTCTGGATTGGTTTTTTCACGTGAGTTTTATTTTGAACATATGGTTTACTTGCTATCTAAGCTATTTGCAAGTTGTCGTTACGATGGGTAAAACGAAGTCAGGAAAATGAAACATAACTTATCAATATTGTCAAAATGACTTGAATTTGAAATTAGCAATCTCACAACGTGACAAAGTCACGCAAGACGTGAATTTTTTTGACAAATTTATGTAAAATTGTATCAGAAAGTTTCATTTCTTTCTTTACAGTGTTGCCTCTGGAAACCATTTTCAAAGTTTAATTTTTTTGACCAAGCAAACTTTGATTTTCCTTTTATCCTTGATAAACCTCCCATTATCTTATTTTATGATTTCAGTATTTAATATTGTGTTTTCTATGATTTGTGATATTTTTTAGTCATAACTTGTAAGATGATTTCTATTTTGGTCCTTGGGAGAGCTTTCAGAGACATATAAAGGCTTTTTGCAGGCCCTTCCTTTTATTTCTTCCTACAACTTTGAACATAATTCATTTTATGTCTTATCTTAAATTGTGGTTACAAATAGCACTTGTTTGTGTTAATTTTTTTAGCACAGATCTGATCTCTGTCTATACATTGTACTTTTTTTTAAGTAGATTGCTCTCAGGGAGGTTGAAGCTTTGCTCTAGGAATTGTTATCTTTAATACATTACAGTTCCCATTAATCGGGGAGGAGTTCCCAGTATTTTTCAATTGATTTCTTCATTTAATAAGAAAAAAAGTAGGCATCATGAAATTGTAAAATGAACTGTTTTTGCCACACCATTTGAATGAATAGTTAAACTTAAGAGCAGTTAAACAAGACCATTTAGGTAAAAAGTATTTTTTTAATTTGCTGGGAACTTAGAGGAGAATATTGTAAGTTACAAGTTAGTATTTGCAAATATGTTCAGGGCTTTGCTCTAGCAGTGCCTGATGGTCCCTAGCACCTTACTTTTGCTCTTGGGCGACTCAGGAATCTTAGTTTTTTCATAAAAAGCATACGCTGGGCACCCGGGATTTCACAGTTTCAGAGCACTGGGCTCCCCTCAAGTTTTCTTAGAGCACAGCCTTGAAATATAATTGCTTCTGCAGATTTTTGATCATATGTACCTTTTACTAACCAATTTCATGGTCCACACTTTAAATTACCAAGCACGTTTTTAAGCTTGAGTTTATGGCCAAGTATGAAGCTTGTATGCCATAAATCAGAGCAAAAAAAATTGAGTTTAGTAACTTACAGTACGGACTGAGAAAATGAGGTTAGGAAGACATCTGTTAAATTTCTGGGTTCAAATAGAGAGAGAAGATTTCAATCCAAACACACTATTGAATATAAGAAGTCTGTAGAGGAAAGGCAATAACTAGTCCATTTCACCATAACATACACTCAGTTTCATAAACATTGACACCTAACAAAGCATATACGAAACAGTGAGACTCAAAAGTTTCTGTGTAGTGTCCATATATCTACACAAACGGTGATTTACTTCTAAATCTTTTTCATGTCATATATTTGACAAGATAATTCTTTTCATTCAGGAAGTGGATAGCTTTGATTATTCCCCACATACAGCTGTGGTAATAATGTACAAAATAATCATATGCATGCCCATAGGGCCTTATGGTCTAGTTATTCAGGGCTGTGGAAGGTGTCAAGGTTTTTTCAACTGAGTGTTTCACTTCAATCCAATTTCAAATCATGGCAGATTTTGTAGCCATCTTATATGAATCGTTTGCATTCTAAAGGCTCCTGTCAGAGAGAGAGAGAGGTGTATAAATTCGATGGATAAATGTTGTAAGGTTAGGATATGGATAGCTTTGATTATTCCCCACATACAACTGTGGCAATAACTTACAAAATAACCATATACTCATAGTGCCTTATGGTCTCATTATTTGGGGCTGTGTAAGGTGTCAAGGTTTTTGCAACTGAGTGTTTCACTTCGATCCACTTTCAAACCATGACAGACTTTGTAGCCATCTTAAACAAATCGTGCGCATTCTTGAGGCTCCTGTTAGAGAGAGAGGTGTATAAATTTGACCGATAAATTTTGTAAATTTGCTCAAGTTTCAGTGTAGGTAGAGTCATTAATTTTGAAAAGAGTTGGTGAACTCAGTATTCATCTAAAGATAAAATAAACAATTTTTATTAGAAGAGAAAAATCCCATCTGGAAACTTGATTTTTCTCTTCTATTAAGAACTCAGTATTGTTATGTTAACTAGTGTGTTAACTTAACAAATGTACAGCTGAATACCAGTAGACCATATGATGTTCTGTAATATATGAGACATCTTTCAAGTAGCATTGGATGATGTATTAAGAAAATATGCTTTGAAAATATTGTTAAATGAACAAATAAAAGTATTGGAAAGTGGTGCCATGAGTTAAGTACTGAATGAGAGCTAGGATGTATTTATTTCGCTTATATTTGTTTCATTTTGCTTTTATGTAAAATGACTGCTTCATCTGGAGCTTTCCTTTATTTTACTGACAAGATATGCTTTAACCTTGTACCCAGACCTCGTAGAAACGATCTGAGAGTATTCTTGATCTCTTCATGTAAACCACCTCATTTTTCCAATACCCGAAAAATGACGCATGTCAGGTTTCGATGGTAAATATTTACATCCCTACACGATATACACTCGAACATCTCAGTTCTTAATTCTCGGCGGAATCATATCCGAAATCATCGTATATTAAAGGGCTTTGCTCGCCAGGGTAGCCAAAATTTATATTTTTTCCCAAATTATCCAGCCATGAGCGCCTTGTCTCTCCAATTGAGAGCAGTTCAGCCGAACCGGTGGGTAGATTTTCACGTCATAGGGTACGTGGTGTAATCTGAAATTAGGATGCGGTGTAAGATGGAGAAAGGCGAAATCTTTGCTCGCCATAGCATTCGCGATTTGTATTTGTTACCCAATCCAGCATGCGCCACTTGTCTCTGATTGAGCGGTTCACCTGAACTTAAAGCAGTAGGTAGACTTTTACGTCATAGGGTACGTAGGTGCAATCTAAATTTAGTATGCGATGCAAAACGGACGTTTAATTGCAGTGCTGCAGCTTACGCCTACTCAAGAGGCGAGCTGTGTAGGCGAGGACTGTTTCTATCTTCTACAAAGACAAACGATAAACTGTTCTTGACTGCATTCAAGACGGGCTGTTTCAATCTACTATTAAGATCATGATAGACGATAAATTGGGTAACAGCTGCCCCACTCTATAGTGTAAGATTATCTCGATCGCCTTTTGAAACAAACGGAAATTTTAAATTGTTGCTGCAGCCGGGGGAAGTGTGTAGGTGTACGGACGGACTCCTTCCTCTCCTTGGTGACTCTTCAGTAATTTGTAAACAATCTCCAGTTATCTGAAACCAAGATTCACTAATAAATCACGCTCGAAAATTTGAGCATTATCCTCTAGAACATTTCCCCATTATGACATTATGCTGAAAATTGTGTTCAAAATGATTCACTACGCCCAATTTTATCAATCAAAATAATAGCTTTTAAGAGCCCCTCAAACTTCCCCGGCCCTTCCGCCCCTTGCGGCCCTTCCTCAGGCTACCACCCGACAGGAGCTTGCACATGCCAAGAAGAAATGTCTTACTAAAGTTCGGAAGACAACTTTTACTGGATCAATTTTCTTAAGTGCAAGCAATAAAAGAAGGCTCACTGTATTCAGGTTACAGAATTTATCTGTTGTTGAACTGTAACACTAAGGGAATTTTCAAGAAGTTTCGTCATTATGCCGGCCGATGATGCTCGATGCTCTGCACTGTACATGCCGGCATAATGTGTCACACCATTATTTCATGCTTAGAACTTACTTCACAACTCGTCTTGCCATAAAATGAAAAAGTGAAAAAATTCTAAATAAAATTTAAAAAAGCACTTCTGGTCCGGAAGCCGAAACTTGCAAGCAACCGCTTTAGATACACATGCCGGCTCCTTGAAAAGTAAATAAATGAACGAATATATAGTCACATTATCCTTTCGTTGTCTGAGGTCTGTGATAAAAAAAAATAGATAAAAAAAAAACATGTAGAAGTATGGTTGGAGTACTTTTAAAAGCCAAGTCACTGTTTATATTTAGATAACATTCGCAAGGCCGCACAAAACGAGTGGGACATCCCTACCATCCAACTTTCCGCAAGCAGGAATTTAGATGGATGACTATTTTAAGCAGCATTCGTAAAGTAATTTGGCTTTTTGGTTCGTGGTTTTGTGCTTGAAAGCCCTTGACGCAATGTTTTGTTTCAGTTGGCGATAATATGCCGGCAATTTTTCCACGATGAGATGACGTCATAGTCTTTGAATAGAATTTATCCATTCATGCATGCATCAACTCACGAACATTTCCGACAACTGGTGAATGTAAACATGCTTTAGTGCACGATTGATAGTGAAAAAACCGCTTTAATGTCGAACCGCTTTGCACCGGTAAATGTTTAAAACAATCCTGGATTCCAATAACAACTTCTGCTTCCCGTGTTTGGAAGAGAAGGTACCGATGAAGATCATGAAAGAACAACAGGAGAATACGGATTCACCGCTTCTTTCACCATCGGATTTGACGACGAAGCGGCGAGTTCACTTTGCGGACTTTGATGGTCAGGATCTGGTCTCTGTTAAAATTATTACACCGACAAATAGCGAAGAAGACTTGTCCCTGAAAAAGGTAGTGGACATTCTGAACTTCTCCGCTACGCCGGTTCATTTAAAACGATTCAGCTGTTGCTTTACACAACCTGGGCGAGATGAGAACTTTCTATCTCGTGTGATGGAGCGAAATGTTTGCTTGGAGAACGTTGTTTTTTGCGGGTTTGCCATGACCGGGACCGTGAGAGTAAAAAACATTGCCTTCGCTAAAGAGGTCACTGCAAGATACACAGTGGATGGATGGAAAAACTATCGCGATGTTTGGGCCGATTATGTACCAAAATCATCAGATGGAGAAACTGACAAATTTCAGTTCAGAATTTCAATTCCTCAAGATGTTGATGTTGGAGTGAAACTCGAGTTTGCTATTCGCTACTGTACAGTTGGTGAGGAGTATTGGGACAATAATTTTAATCGTAATTATAGTGCAGAATGTTTTCTTCATACGATCGTCGACAAATGATGTACACCGTATCGTCATAAGGTTGATCAAGCTTCCCGCAAATCACCGTGCGCGCATAATTACGTTTCCCTTCGACAGTTTATCGTGTCAGTGGAACGACAGTTTGAAATCAGAGAAGGACAAAAGACGTTAAAAAAAGGTTGATGTAACTGCCTAAAAATCGTTCATAACAACACAACTAACGTGACAGAGCAATAGTAGGGCGGTACAAGGTTTCCGGAAGGATTTTAATATCGTGTAAACAAAGTCACCCTCGAATGTAAGCCTTTCATATTTTTGTCGAATAGATTTGTGCGGCTTGTGGTTGAAAAGAAACGAACTTGAATATTTAGTGCTCCTTTATAGCGGAGAAAACGTATTTTATATTGTGAATAGTATTATGTTAAGTGATTGAGTTTCGATCGCTACGTTTCTTCTTTATGCGTAAAAGTGAACATTAATCTCCCATGAAGATCATTTTAGTTTAACTCACGACTTTATTTATGGAAAACTCGAAATTTATATGTTCTAGATTATTTTTACAAATTCTTTGTACTAAACCCGAGGTTTAAATCGAGAATAAAACAATATTACGGAAACAGGAAACTTTGTGCTCTTATAAATGAGAATAATTCAAAGCCTTTGTCCAAGCGTCCATCGAGAGAAACAGCATCCATTAATTACATATATAATTTGGATATATCAACAAAGTTGAAATGGTAAATTGGCCACCGTAATGATTACAAAAGCTGACGTTTCGAGCGTTAGCCCTTCGTCCTTCGCTCCGACGAAGGGCTAACGCTCGAAACGTCAGCTTTTGTAATCATTACGGTGGCCAATTTACCATTTCAACTTTGTTGATATATCCAAATTATTTCGTTACTCCCACCGACGCAGCCCCAAACAGTTTCTTTCGAAACTATCAGCCTTTATCCATTAATTACACTTTGTCTTCAACTTGTTTTTTTATTGTTGCATAAAAACTCGACATGGGCAAAGTTCGACGCATACTCAAAACTACCTAGTTTAAATCACATGTGATGTTACATGAGCATTTCCTGTGGCGTGACAATTGTTAGTAAATAGCGTGATTTTTGCAATTATCGCCTCTGACAGTTTAAAAGGAGAGCCGACGGTCAACCAGGGTTCATTTCATTCCAAATGTTGAGCCTGTTTACATGTAGATTGGGAACCCCCAGTGGGCTTTGGTGGTTCGTCCTTTTTTACTGCGGACGTTTACCTTGCTGATCCGCGGTCCCACACATCCTTGCGAGGAGGCCCCAGTGTACTTACGTACGTAGAGCACTAGCGACTTGCATTTGCAGGACACGCATTTTTTTCGCTCGCGGAAGGATTTGAGCAGTGAGTCGGAGGAGAGGTTTGCCTGGGAGTCTGGCACAATCAATCAGTTTTAGTCTCCTTGCAGACCTTTCTAGCTGTTTCCCAACATACCATTGCAGTGGCGGATCCAGGGGGAGGGTCCAGGGGATCCGGACCCCCCTATCAAACCTGACGCTTACAACTTTGAGACAGGATCGTATATCACTTTTAACTGGCTGATTTTTTTAATGAAGCTAAATAAACGGTAAGCGGCCAAGGAATTATAACGTGCAACCGCGACTGGTGGGAGGGGGTGTGGGGGAGAAGTAATTTGTCTCAAAGAGTTCAACAGTCCTTTCTGAGCCAAAGTTTGGACCCTCCTAAAACTTCACAATTTTCGCAGTGTTGGAGCATTTGAGCAAGCATTGGAAAATCATGGATTTTACATCCTGACAGCTGAGAACCTTTTTCATCTACCTAACATTAAACTGTCACGCCGAACAAAACCCTTCGATTTTTCGTTCCGAAATGATTGTAATTTGTCCAATCCACGCCGTTCAGCACACAAAGAATAACGTAAAAATAGATTCTTGCAAAGGTAGCTCAACATTTTTGGCACAAATTCCATAGAAAACTATTGTTGCATAAACTCAAACTCTCAGTACGTGGGCAAAATGTCCTAGAACACTGTAAGGAAGCCCAAGATGCGACCCCACGCACGTTTTCATCACAGAGCGGATGTAGATGATGACGTCAAATGCTATCGCTGCTGTGTGGCGACTTATGTCTGGATGCAGTTTATAGATGGTCATGCCTGTAATGTCTTCCTTACTTCAACAGCTAATGAGTGCTTTTTATGCGGTTTTTCGCTGTATCTAAAGGAAACGAAAGCTTTCCTCAACTTCCAAGTCGTGCTGAAATATTTTTCCCCTGATTCCGGTTGTTTGTTTATAAGTGCCGTATGTTTTCTGAATTCATGAGATTAGTCACGCTTTTTTTGTTGACTCTCGGTTGGCCTGTGCCCAAGTGATGACCAAGTGATATACATGTATAAGGCTTTGAGGAAAACAAACCTACACAAGATCTAGTTCAGGGTCTTGTGCACTATTTTTGCACGTGTGGAAAAGTGTTGTTAATAACGGCTGGAGAGTCAAGAGCTTTCACTGGCAGCCTGGGAGAGTTGTTTGGCTTTTGCAGGGAAGAATCAGGCACGATAAAAGCTCTGGGACATTTGTAAGTAAAAAATATATATATTTTTTGTTTCTTTAGTACCGCGATTATTTCTCAAAGTTGATAGCATGGTCGGTAAACAAATCAAAACCGCATTTTAAATTATTCCGTCGATTCGAGTTTGCAAAAACAGCTTAAAAGCTGAGCAAGGTGTGAAATATCGTTCATTTTAGATTCCGAAGTGACGTCAATCTCCCGAGTTTGCCCGAGCAGCGGCATCATTCGCCGGCTGCCGGTTACTGAAAAGAAAGAGACTTAAGCCACTTGACTGGCGGTGATCCGAAAACAGAGCAGAAATGAAGATGCATGCTCAAGTTAAGAGCTCTGAGCCAACTCTGACCGGGTCTGCAACAAAGAGAGTCAGTTTCGCAGACCTGGTTGGTCTCAAACTCGAGTTCGTGAAAACAATAACTCCGTGCAGTAGCGAGGAAAACTTAAATGCCATGGGTGCTTGGAAAAAGCACTGTGATATCAACGGTAATGTAACCAGAAGACAACCAAGTAAATATCGATATCTTTGCCCGTGCTTTGTCGCACCTTCCCGAGCAGAATGCAGCTTTATGGAACGAGTGTTCAGCCAGAATGTATGCCTCGAGAATATCGCGTGCGATAACTTTGTTGTGGCCGGGCTTATTCGCGTGACAAATTTATGTTACGCTAAAGAGGTTTGCTTACGGTTTACAAAAGATGGTTGGGCATCTTCTAAAGACGTTTGGGCAGATTATCTGTCTTCTTGTTCAGATGGAAAGACTGACAAGTTTACCTTTCGTATCACAGTTCCCTTTGACTTTGAAGCAAATCAATGCGTGGAGTTTGCGATACGGTATCGTGCTTCAAACCAAGAGTTTTGGGACAATAATTACGGAAATAATTACCATATTCAGTGCGTAGATGTCTTGCCTGAACAGCGACGGTCTTAAAATGAATTTTAACTGATATCTTAAGAAAACTGTTGAAACAACGAAAACTGTTTATGGCCTTTCGCTTATTCAAGGGCAATTTATTCCTCGAAATAGCCGACGCGAAACAGATAATATCAGAGTGTTTGTACACAATTTGTAAATGTGATCCCAGATTGTGTAAAAGGCTCTCAAATGATTTAAGGCCAATATCGTATGTGAAACACCGTAGGCTTCTCATCCTTGAAATAGCGAAATTCGTTTGTTGACTAAAATGTTTCCATATCTAAAACATTGTTAGGTTATTAATTTGCCTGACAACACCGAAAACAAGGTGACCTTAGGTGGCATTTACTTGACGTTTTTTATTTAAAAAAAAATTTGGGTCGGTTGCACGTCTTTCACACGTTTTGATCAACTCTAAGGGAAAAAACATGAATGAATGCATAAAAAATTATGATTATCCTTAAGGGTAAAATTATGTTACTGATGTCAAAGAAAGCAAAGGCATGCCACAAACAGTACGAAAATTAAACTGAGAGGCAACGTCCGTTGTAAGCTATTTGCATTCGTGTCGTTGTTGTTTGTTTTTCTTTAGTATTTTCCTCAAATGATTCTTCGTTTGACAGAAAAATACAATAATAACTAACAGGATAACACGAGCAAAAAGACTTTAAAACTTTCCATATCGAGAACGCGCTCAGTTGTTAAGATTAAATCAAGATCCGAGTAAAAGCAATTTGCATGGAAATTTTTTCCTCGAACACGTCTGTTGATTTAAGAATTTTACTTTTAGTTCAATCAAATCCTGAGAAACCAAGGCCTATAAATTACTATTCTAATCTCAAAGTTAAACAGAACGGCCACTTTAACCAGATAAGAAAAACACAGAAACACCAACTTGTACCAAAGTAAATTGGACCGGTTATTTTAATGCTCACACTATAGTAGCTATGATCATATTATGCTCATTGAACCCGAAAACTTGAAAAACAGGAATATCTGCCGAGCCGTTAAATTACGTGTATATCACCAATTAGCCCAACATTCCAAATTTCTCCGGGATTAAGTAAGGATACCAGACTGTTTTTCTCATGCAACAAATTGATCATTTCAATTTTTAATTGATCAGTTGAAATGTCTACTTCTCTTCATTCAGATTCAAGTAAGTTCTAACCAATCTGTAAAGTGCTTTCGAGGTAATAAAAAAAAAACCAACAGGATGACGGTGAACATTACAGTACAATGAATTTGTGATTTTCAGATCGGTTATTACCATCGCACCCGATATCAGTAGTTAACACATGATTAATCTGTTAAGAGTCATTCCGTTTGAATTGCTTTTTTCATTTTCCTCAGAGAAAATAGGAAAAATTATGTCGTGACCTCAACTTAAGATTGTAGTAGTTCATTTATCAAGTATCATAACTGATATTTCAAACTCAGACTTTCCCCTCTCGGCTCGTTAATTCAAACTCCATCTGTCCTCTGATTCAACAATAACAAGGAAAGCACCAGTAGTGACAGTAGTAGTGGTACCAGTAAAAATAATAATGGTTGTGCTACTGGAATAATGGTTGGTGTAGTAGTTATAGTAATGGTATTTGTTGTAGTAGTAATAACAGTAGTAGTAGTAGTAATAGTAGTAGTGGTAATAGTACAATAGTAGCGTAGTAGTGGTAGCAGTAGTAGTAATAGTAGTAGTAGTAGTAGTAGTAGTAGTAGTAGTAGTAGTAGTAGTAGTAATAATAGCAGTAGTGGTAGTACCAGTAGTAGTAATAGTATAATAGTAGTAGTAGTAGTAATAGTATAATAGTAGTAATAGTATAGTAATAGTAGTAGTAATAGTATATTATAATAGTATTAGTTGTATTAGTATAATAGTAGTAGTAGTAGTAGTAGTAATAGTAGTAGTAATAGTAGTAGTAGTAGTAATAGCAGAATAGTAGTTTTAGTAATGTATAATAGTAGTAATAGTAGAATAGTAGTAGTAGTATTAGTATAGTAGTAGTATTAGTAGTAGTAGTAGTAGTAGTAGTAGTAATAGTAGTAGTAATAGTAGTAGTAGTAG